AGCTGCCTAACATGCAAGCTGCCCAGGTTCGAATTCCTGAAGGGTGTGACTAGCTGATGAGGGCAAATGAGCCTGAAATAGCTATACTAGACTCCCACTAACTCTTTGCCAGCCACAAAATTTTGAATTTATAGTGTTCACAGTATGTGAGGTCTGCCTGCAAAATATGCTCCTAGACTGGAGCGAAATGCAGAACAGACTGATTTATATTTGGTAGACCAGGTGCCTCACCCAAGAGATAAGATATATATTGCTATATAGCTATAGCTATGTATATATCTATAGCCATATCTATCTATGTATATTATAGCTATTTATATAGCTATAGCTATAGCTATCATCTACCTATATCATTTCTATCTATCTATCTATCTATCTATCTATCTATCTATCTATCTATCTATCTATCTTTCTATCTATCTATCTCTAATTATATCTATATCTGAATCTCTATCTCTATATCTTACTATATCTATGTGAATATCTATCTATCTATCATCTACCTATATTACCTCTCTCATATCTATATCTATCTATTATCTATCTCTCTATTCTCTATCTTTCTATTCCCTATCTATCATCGATCTATAATCATAATCTCTCTATCTATCTAACTCTAATTATATCTATATCTGAATCTCTCTCTGTCTCTCTCTCTCTCTCTCTCTCTCTCTCTCTCTCTCTCTCTCATGACTTCCTCTGAACTAACTGAAGTTTTGAAATGTCTTCAGAGACAGCCTTTTCATCTCTAACTAAATCTCTTTCCTGCAATGTGGCTAAACTAGATTTGCAAAAGAAAAGGCTAGCCCAGGGCTTTTTGAAGTCAGAAACTACAGAATTTTAATTGAACTCACCTTTTCTTTCACTATATTTGTGTTGAGGTGAGTCTTCTCTTTCCAATGAGATCAGTGGTCCAGTATGTTGGAGGTGGAACTTAAAATACTGCCGCAATTCACGGAATGGTATTTTAATGGGTTTTACCACCCTGAATGTACAGTATTAATTGCACCGTTTGTAGTCAGCTGCTGTTTTTGAGTGCCGGGCTGAACTTGTCTGGACTTGGAAAGTAAGCAAGATCGGGTCTAATTACTGCTTAGACTGGAGGCTACCAGGAAATCTCGGGGCTTAATCGAAGTTGTGGAATTTTAAAAATATCCCACACCAAGGCAATAATAAATTATGTTTGAACTTTTGCAAAGAAAACTATGCGAACATGGATTAAAAGTCAGCAGAAATCGAGCTGGAAAAGGAGAAAAAGAGAAGTAACCTCTCTGCTCCTGATAATACAGGTAATCTTTCACTTATGACCACAAATGAGCCCAAAATTTCCATTGCTAAGAAAGTCGCTTCTTAAGGGAGTTTTGCCACATTTGACAACTTTCCTTGCCACGGTAATTAAAAGTGGGCTCCATTTATTCACAGTTGCAGCCCAGAAACAGGAAGCCTGCTTGGGTGTGGATGTGTCTCCACTTATACACTGAAACTGTCAGCCCACATCAGATATAATAATAATAATAATAATAATAATAATAATAATAATAATAATAATAATAATAATAATAATAATAAAGTTGGAAGGGACTTTGGAGGTCATCTAGTCCAACCCCCTGCTCAGGCAGGAAACCCTATACCATTTTGGACAAATGGCTGTCCAGTCTCTTCTTAAAAACTTCCAGTGTTGGAGCATTCACCTCTTCTGGAGGCAGGTTGTTCCACTGGTTAATTGTTCTAACTGTCAGGAAGTTTCTCCTTAGTTCTAGGTTGCTTCTCTCCTTGATTAGTTTCCACCCGTTGCTTCTTGTCCTGCCTTCAGGCGCTTTGGAGAATAGCTTGACTCCCTCTTCTTTGGGGCAGCCCCTGAGATATTGGAATACTGCTATCATGTCCCCCCTCGTCCTTCTCTTCATTAAACTAGACATACCCAATTCCAGCAGCCATTCCTTATATGCTTTAGTTTCCAATCCCCTTTATTTAAAACAAGAGGTTCAGATCCTATCTTATACCCTGTAAGTTTTTTTTTACAAAAACTACCATATATAATTAAAGCACAAGCAATTACAAAATCAATTTTAATACCCTGAGGAAGCCAGATCATGTTGGGAAGAAAAAAAAGTGAGCTGGAAACAATCAACCTTTGGAAGGAAGGAAGGAAGGAAGGAAGGAAGGAAGGAAGGAAGGAAGGAAGGAAGGAAGGAAGGAAGGAAGGAAGGAAGGAAGGAAGGAAGGGAAGGAAGGAATTTTCCTTTTTTGCTATTAGTGCCAAAACTCATTTACATCAGATTTAATTAAACTACAAAATCTGCTTCCAGAGAATGCAGGCATGCCTGCCAACTTGGTTGGCTTTAAAGAATTACATCTATTCATGATGTACAAAGCTATCAGTGGCGGCTAATCAGGATGATTCAATGCCAGTTGCCAAATAAGAAGCACCATCCAACTCAGAATACTAGGGGGTGGTGGCAGTCTGTTCAAGTCCTGCTTGTTAGAGATATCTGGATATTCACGATGAAAACAAAATGCTGGGCTAAGTCAAGATCCAAAAAAGGTGATTCTTCTTTTTAAAGGAAAGTAAAAACCATACACAAGTATGTTGGCTTCGAAATAAATCCAGCACTCGCTTCCATGACGGGAAATGCAGAATGGGAGATTCAACATGAGCTCAAGTGCAACCTCTCCTGTGCTACATAGATCTGGGCCACTCATGTATTGGACCAACTGTTGGACCCCCTTTCAGCCAGCATCCCTGGGCCTTGTCTTTGACTTATGGCTATAAAGGAACTGCCCATCGTAATTATAAGTCATGACAATCATAAATTGGGTCTCCCATGTGACCAAATCAACTTTATGACATCTTTTGTGGCAGTTCTTAAGCAAATGACCTGGTCGTTAAGCAAACCAATGGTTTGCTATGGGCCAGTTTTGCCAAAGAGCAGAAGTAAATGCTGCTTGTCAGCAAAACCACCATAAAATACTCATACTTTATTTATTTGGCCAAGTGTGGTTAGACCCACAGGGAATTTGTTTCTCCTAGAGAAGCAGAAAATGCAGACGTGTGACTGCGGGACTCTGCAAACAGTCATGAATGTAAGCCCATTGCTGAGCACCAGAAATAGGACCGTGTCACCATGCACAGTGGTTGCTGTCAGACCTTCAGGATGAATCGTGAGGACCACCAAGGAAGTCCATCAAAACTTTGAATGATTGTTAATCAAGCAGTCATAAGCCAAGGACTAAGAGACGTGGTGGTGCAGTGGTTAGAATACAGCAATGCAGGCTAACTCACTGTGCACTCCAGGAATTTGATTCTGACCGGCTCAAGGTTGACTCAGCCTTCCATCCTTCCAAGGTCGATAAAATGAGGACCCAAAATGCTGACTCTGTAAACCGCTTAGAGAGGGCTGTGAAGCACTATGAAGTGGCATATAAGTCTAAATGCTATTGCTAAGGCTATTGCTGTAGCTGATTGGATGTCACATTAGGAGCCCTGGTAGTGCAGTTGTTACAATGCAGTGTTGCAGGCTAACTCTGCCCACAGCCTGGAGTTCGATCTTGACCAGCTTGAGGTTGACTCAGCCTTGGTAAAATGAGGACCCAGATTGTTGGGGGCAAGAGGCTGACTCTGTAAACTGCTTAGAGAGGGCTGTAAAAGCACGGTGAAGCAATATATAAGTCTAGGTGCTATTGCTATCTGTAGCCAGTCAACACAACAGAGCATCTTTTTTGCTGCTCTGGATGTTGGCTGGAACCAAAAGAGAGAAGATATGGAGAAGAAGCCTTCTCAAGATAGACCCATCAAGAGTTTCTCCAGGCTAAATAAATCTGGAGCTGGAATTGTGCAAGCATTCCGATTAACTGCAAGTTGGCTGTTCCTCCTTCACAACGAGAAGACCCTGTGAGCTGAACATCTGCAGGCCCTTGGTCAAAGTTTTGGGGAAAGGTCTTAAGTCTTAAAAGTTGAAGACTTTCTGTTAGGGGAATTGAGAGTGGTCTACCCAACAGCAAAAATGAAAAAGAGGCATTGACCGGTAATAAACTAACTAACCAATGGATTTCCAGTCTTTTTTTTTTTTCAAAGAATCTTGAATAATTCAAAGAATCCTGAGAAGAACGAGAGAAATGGGTACAATTGATCCAAATGCAAATCACTTTCAGCATTGAGTGACTATCTGTTAAGGATCTATCTATTCTTTATTTATAATTTCTTCCACATATAAATCAAGAGGCATCTGGTAGCTCCTTTCCAGGTGAACAAATTTAATTAAAAGGCATAAGCGTTCACGAGCTTTTCAATTAAATTTGTTAGTTGGAAAAGATGCTGCTAAATTCCTGATTTTGGGGTGCCAGAGAGTTACCATGTATTTCAACTAAAGCAGTGATTCTCAACCTTTTTAATGCCGCGACCCCCAACCGGTCATAAGTCGAGGACTACTCAACCGGTCGTAAGTCGAGGACTACTCAACTGGTGCAGCACCGTTTGCAGAATGGGACTTTGGGCGGGCTCAGCAGGGCAGAGACAGCCTGGACAATTCCTATTGGCTTTTGAAAGCCAATAGAATTAGACTCTATTCAAGAGAGTCTATTCTATTGGCTTTCAAAAGCCAATAGAACAGTGGTTCTCAACGTTTGTGTGATGGCGACCCCCGTCACACAAACGTTCTGCGCACGCGCGGCGCCGCGCGCATGGGGGCGCCGCCGCGCATGCGCGGCAGCGCCCCCATGCGCGGCACCACCCACGCGCAGCGCGCTTGCGCGGCGCCGCCCCCACGTACGGTGCGCATGCGCGGCGGCGGCCCCACGTGCGGCGCGCATGCGTGGCGCCGCCCCATGCGCGGCTCGCATGCACAGCACCGCCCCCATGCATGGCGCGCATGCGCAGCGCCGCCCCTGAGGGGAAAAAATGGCAGATTGCCGCTTTTGGCGACCCCTGAAAAATGGTCGATCGACCCCAAATGGGGTCGCGACCCATAGGTTGAGAACCGCTGCAATAGAATAAAAGGGAGTAGCACAGCTAAGGAAAAGGGGGAAAAAATGGCGGACTGCGTTGTTTGGCGACCCCCGTGAAATGGTTGTTCGACCCCAAATGGGGTCCCAACCCACAGGTTGAGAACCACTGATCTAAAGGGAGCCGAGAAAGGTGCAGGAAACAGCATGAATACATGCATACAGTGCAAAAACTAAGTGAAAATGTTATGATTCCTCCCCCCAAATCCCAGTTAAAAGTCACAGTGGCTTCAGTGACAACCTTCTGGTTAGTCTCCCCAGCAAGGGCGTAGATAAATAACCAAAAACAAAGCTTTACAGAGACCTATCCAAAGTGAAAGTATGTAGAACAGCTCGCCTCCTGACGTTCTGGAGCTCCATCAATGGAGGTTTTCAACCAAGAATGGACAGCTATATGTCTAGGAAAGTGTGCCCTTTGGAAGGAATTGGACTAGAAGCTCTCAAAATGCCCCCCAGTTCTAGGCTTCTAGGATTCTTAACTGCCCTCCAGAAGTGACTTTCCAGAGATAATAGCTGCCATTGTTCTTGTTCTTTCAGACCATGAACAAGCAGTAGAGAGAAGTGAAAGAAGATCCAGTTCCAAGGAATGCCGTGGACCAGAAATGGCCCAAAGTTTAACTTCTGGAGGAAATGGTGCCGTGTTCCTCAGCATTCATAGTTGGGGGGGGGGATCTCTCATCTGCTTTGCAGTTGTCCCAATCTTGCAGTAGAGCTGTCAACGAAAGCAGAAGATCACAAAACATCACCAGGTCACCCTCAATCAGCATCTAATCTAGAGATGCCCTCAAGGTTCTTCGCTCAGAATAGAAACGTCAGCAGCTGGCGCCAGGCGTGCCCCCACTCACCCCTCTGAATTTTTTAATATCAAATTTTAATCTAAGCCGAAGAATTCAATTACACACTCGCTCACACACTGACTCTTAACTCCTTGTATCCGACAAATCGGGGTCTCCAATCGCTTCCCCCGTTCATCTGCTTTGCTTTCCTGCTGTGACTCCACCTCTGCCTCCGTAATTGAGCCTGAGAAGAAGGATCAGATATTACTCCATCATCGGCCATCTCAAGAACCTGGTCAATGTCATTTTATAGGTGAGAAGTACCCCTTGACCAGCGGCAAGTGGTCCTTGACTTACAACCACAACGGAGACCAGAATATCTTTGTTAATCAAAGTGATTGCTGGGTGAGATGTGTCCAGTTTTATGCCATAGTTTGTGAGCAAATCACTGCAGCTGTTAAGTGAATCATGCAGTCTTTAAGTGAAACCTGCTTTTCCTATTGACTTTGCTTGCCTGGAAGATCATCAGTGGTAACCCCAGGGTGCTACAACTCTACACACCTGGATGCCAAGCAAGCAAATTGTGATCATGTGACTGTGAGTAATGCTATGTTGGTTGTAAGTGTGGTTGTTACTCACATTTTTCAGCGCTGTTGTAACTTTGAATGGTTGCTAAATGAATGGTTGTAAGTCAAGGATTACCTGTACTCAGAGTAAAGTCGAGATATAACTGCTGGAGCAGTGGTTGACCACAGTTGCTGAAGCCCATTCAAGAGGAACTAGAAGCAGTACACTCAAAATCTGGGTAAATTACCCCAAATTGGGTAAAAGTAGCTTTTCTTGGGGTAATGACCCACAAACCAATTGCCCATCACAACAGGGATGTTTCAATTGACTTAGGAGTTGCCAGAGATACTAAAATATATCCCAAATAGTCCTATGAAAATAAAATTTGATGAAATCACCAATGCTAATTGATGGAAATGGTGCAGTGATCATTCAAAGCTATTATTTTTATAATACAGGTAGTCCTTGAGTTTGGGCCATCTGTTCAGTGACTGTTTGAAGTTGCAATGGTGCTGAAGGAAGGGACCTACAACCAACCCTCAAACTTCAGTAAAACTGATAGAAGAGAATATTTGTGGCTCGGGGTTGAACTGTGGGATCCTTGGTGCTCTCTGAGCTTGGTTGTTTTCTTGCAGATGTTTCATTACCAAACTAGGTAACATCATCAATGCTAGAAGTCCACAAGTCATAAAAGGGCCAAGTTTGAAGACCCTTGCTCTACAAGACAGTCCAAGCAATTCACCAATAGATGAACAATGTAAAGTGGGCTGGATTTAGATCACTTGTGGGCACGCAGGGACTCATGATTGATGACGCATGTGATCCCTACCTCGGGCTCAGCCCGGTCATATCCTATATGTGCTGAGGGACTTTTATTTCAGCTCATATCAAGCCCCTTCGTGGCCAAGCAAAATCAAGTACAGGGTGATAGTCAAGATACAATCAGTTTCAGCACCTTGGACAGGATATGTTAGTGTAAGGCCTGGAAGAAATTGAGTCCCTGAAGCAGTAGGCGTGAGCTTAAATGGACTCCAGAAGATGGTAGAGGACAGGAAGGCCTGGAGGAACATTGTCCATGGGGTCGCGATGGGTCGGACACGACTCCACAACTAACAATAACAACAACAAATTCTACAATCCTGCCATATACTGTTGTAATAGAAGAAAAGAAAGTGGTCTTGGTGTTCCCTGTGTAACAGAACTGCTTCTGTTATGGGGCAGCCATTGGCCAAAAATTCCCAGCAGCATTGCCTACAAGTGGAATTTACCATCTCTTGTAGCACTTGACAATGAGTTATTCTCCAATAGTTCATTGCCTTCTGCGATCAACAATCTGGCAAGTTCTGAAGAGAGAAGCGTTGTTTCTGAGGCATCTTTTGTCTTGTCCTCATCCTCTTGGCTGCTAATCCTGAGGAAGGAAAATGTGATGGTTTGTGAATTCCTACTTCACAGTCTCTTAGCGTAATGGGCTAGCAGAATAACCTTGGGAGATGGAAGCCAAGACAATGGTCAGATGAAAACTACCTGAGCCCAGAGAAGGAATGGAGATGGGGAAAACATCTCAGAAGGGACCATCTCTAGTTCTCTGGAAAGTATAGATGGGGGGGGGAGGGGTGTGCTTTCTGACTTGCAAGATTCTACTGCTAGTATTATAAAAGTAGTGTTAATATTCTTGGCTTTGGTTTCATGCCTGGACTATCTAAAAGGGCTAATGCTCAGGGAAACTTTGAAGAAAGCCATAATCATTCAGTTTTGCTACTTGTATTATGAAAGAGCCAGATTGGTCTAGGGCAGGGGTAGGCAAGCTTGGCTCTTTTATGACTCCTGGACTTCAACTCCCAGAATTCCTGAGCCAGCCATGCTGAGGGGAAAGAAAGAGGTTTCCAAGCTGAGCCATGCTGGCTCAGGAATTCTGGGGAAGTCCACTAGTAATGAGGGGGCCATAGTTCCCCCATGCTGGCTCAGGAATTCTGGGAGTTGAAGTCCACGAGTAATGAGGGGGCCATAGTTCCTCCATGCTGGCTCAGGAATTCTGGGAGTTGAAGTCCACAAGTCATAAAAGAGCCAAGTTTGAAGACCCATGAGCTTGACAATAATAGAACTGGTTGATCATTCTCTTCTTCTAGAGCAGGGGTAGGCAACCTTGGCTCTTTTATGACTGGTGGACGTCAACTCCCAGAATTCCTGAGCCGGCATGGCTCAGCTTGGAAACCTCTCCCTTTCCCCTCAGCATGGCTGGCTCAGGAATTCTGGGAATTGAAGTCCACGAGTCATAAAAGAGCCAAGTCTGAAGACCCATGGGCTTGACAATAATAGAACTGGTTGGTCATTCTCTTCTTCTAGGGCAGGGGTAGGCAACCTTGGCTCTTTTATGACTCGTGGACTTCAACTCCCAGAATTCCTGAGCCAGCCATGCTGAGGGGAAAGGGAGAGGTTTCCAAGCTGAGCCATGCTGGCTCAGGAATTCTGGGAGTTGAAATCCACGAGTCATAAAAGAGCCAAGGTTGCCTACCCCGGGTCTAGTGGTTAAGGCAACAGGTTGGAAAACGGGAGATCATGAGTTCAAGTCCCATCTTAGCCTTGAAAGCCAGCTGGGTGATTTAGCCTTGAAACCCAGCTGGGTGAAACATCTTCTTCTTCCTCAAAAAAATCAATCCAGTTGCCTTTTCAAAAATAAAAACCACTTTTGATGCAACGATGACCTGGATGGCTGAGAATGTTCATAGACATCCTGCACACCTGGTAAGAAACAAACTCAAAGAAACTCTTACCTCTTCTTGGGCAATGAGCAAGGTGCGCTCAGCAATCTGTGGGCATGCTGGTTAAAGACAAAAAAAAATGGGGGAAAAAAGTTGTCAACATTGCAGAAATGTGACCTCATTAGTACCTGCAAACCTCTTTTTTCTTTTGCTGGATTTTTACCATTCACTCCGAGGAAGATCCATTTTTCCACTAAGAGGAAAAATAGAAACAAAAATCGTTTAAGAACGTAAATCGAAGTTCAAATTAAATCAGGGTCAGTAATCCTAGTGCTAAACTTCAGCTGCAAAAATGAAGAAGGGTATTTGACTCTCAGCCTTTAATCGTGGGCAGGAGATATGCTTTTAATGGAAAGAGTGAATAACCTACACACACACACACACACACACACACACACACACACACCAAAATAAGGACAGGCATGGTGCTATGGTCAAAATTAAAGGGAGATCATGTGATCCCGAGAGAATGCAACCCTTGTGAATGCATGCCAGTTTCCAGGTGCCCAAATTTTGATCACGTGACCGTGGGGATGATGCAACGGTCATAACGGTGAAGACTAGCCACAAGTCACCTTTTTCAAGGTTATTGTAACTTTGAATGATTGCTAAACAAATAACTGTAAGTCAAGGACTATCTGTAATCTGTTCCACACTACCATCCATGTTGATTTAGGAGCAATATTATTTTGACTGATGTGACAAATCTACTGTAATACTGTAATAACAAGAACTTCCAGCATAGATTTTTTTCCTATTTTCATGCATTCTCCTTGAAATAAATGGGAGGATCTAGACTAGCGTCTAGACTAGGGGCGGGCAACTGTGGTTCCCTTTACAACCTGTGGACTTCAGACCCCAGAATTTTTGAATCATTCCCAAGAGCATGGCTGGCTCAGGAATTCTGGGAGTTGAAGTCCACAGGTTGTAAAGGGACCACAGTTGCCCATTCCTGGACTAGACACTGAATTCTGATTGGATGCAAACAAATCACCTGTACAAACAATAGGAGTTTTCTGTTGTAAATTTCCAGGTGTTTCTGGGCAACCTCTGACTTGTGTAACTGCTCGTTCACCAAGGACAGGTGCTTCTTCAGTTCTAAGGCATCACTCTGATTTGGGGGGAAAGAGAAAGAGAGAGAAAAGACAGAAAGACAAGATTGGAAGAGAAGATGTTTAGTTTTGACACACATTTGCTCACCCGGGTGTTTACAGTTTTGCTCCAGAACCAAAATGTTAGTTAAAAACATGATGGTGATGCAGAGAAGTTTTAGAATCCAAAATTGTCATAAACCAAGATGCTATCCTTATATTGTTTCTATTGTTTTTATTATACCCTGTTTTTATACTTTTATTCTTTGCTCCGGATTCCTTCAAAGCTGACTGCGTTAATTAGGGACAAAAATGTAAACAATTTTGTGGTTATTTGGAAAATTGCTTCTACACTTGCTGCATGAAAGAAAAAACATGAAATTTTAACTCTGGGTCTTAACAGTTAAGAGGGTTACTGCTATAAAAATGGCTGGTGGTTATTATTGGGCATAACTAAAAAGTTGATGCTATAACTTTACTACATAACTTACTGCACCGAAACCAGTAGGAAGTCACTTGTTTTGGTTTGTGTATTATTTCTTTCCCCCCCCCTGACTTTATCTCCTCTATTCCCTTTCCTTTCCTGTTTTTTCATGGTCTTTATTTCTACTTTCTACTTTATTTTTAATTGTATCTCAACTCCAAGCAGGTGCTGACTGTTAGTTAAGAAGATACTCCATCACTGGAGGCTTCTAAGAAGAGACTGAATAGCCACTTGTCTGGAATGGTAGAGGGTGTCCTGCTTGAGCAGGGGGTTGGACTAGAAGACCTCTGAGGTCCCTTTCAACTCTGCTATTCTGTTAAGACTCCTGTGCAATAAGTAGCAATAAATTGTTTTAATTGGATCTGCAGGCACAGAGCTGATTTTCCATGCCTGTCATTTCTTGAGCTATTTAAGGTGCAGTTGGTAGTAGTAGTAGTAGTAGTAGTAGTAGTAATAATAATAATAATAAATTTGGAAGGGACCTTGGAGGTCATCAAGTCCAACCTCCTGCTCAGGCAGGTAACCCTATACCATTTTGGACAAATGGCTGTCCAGTTTCTTCTTAAAAACTTCCAGTGTTGGAGTCCTCGCCTTACCATCCCAACTGAGCCCAAAACTTCCGTCGCTAAGTGAAACATTTGTTAAGTGAATTTTGGCCCCGCTTTATGACTTTTCTTGCCACCGTTGTTAAGTGAATCATGGCTATTATTAAGTTGTTGTTAAATGAATCCGGCTTCCCCATTGGCTGTGCTTGTCAGTCGCCAAAGGGGATCATGTGACACCCCCCGTCAGGGACTCTGCGACCGTCATAAATGCTGCAATGGTCGTTAAGGGTGAAAAACGGTCCTAAGTCACTTTTACAACTGTTGTAAGTCAAAGACTATCTGTCCTGCTTTTCCCGCTGGCTTTTCAGAACGAGCTGAATTTTCTTTCCCTCTCTTTTGCTATGGATCCCACACCTGCTTTTGGATTGTCCCTGATGCATACATAAAAGTATTAAAAACACTCCTTCTGGAGCAGACCCAAAATACAGCTGGGCACCGTGGGGCAGACGGGTGGGGAGGCAGACAATAGGGCAGCTGCTACTAAATACTGTTTGTAGCTGGTGAGGGTTGGGGGCTGGGGAGCTGTCTGGGTTTTATGTCAAGCTGTAAACTATATTTTCCTGGCCCGGCAAAGACAGCAGTATGTGGCATGGAGTTAATTACACTGACTCACCCTATAAGGTTGTAACTTATAATCTGGTGCAGAAATTAATTTAAACCCTGAAAACACCTTGCGGCTCTAGCATTTAATGTAAGAAAAACAGTGGAAGGGATTCTAGAATATGCTGTTTATAAATCAACAAATCGGCAAGAGTAAGCAATTAACCTCCACATTGTGGGAAGTCAGCCCCCCTCCCCCCCAAGCCCAAGAAAGAAATATTTTTGGAAATATTTAAAAGGCAGAATATAGTTCCCTAACGGATTTTAAAAGCAGAAACTAACACACACACACACACACACACACACACACACACACACACACACACACAAGTCTCTCTGTCCCAAGCAGAAACCAAGTCTGCAGAACTGCAGATGTGATAATCTTGTCCAAACTTTCTGTGGCTAAGTGAGACATTTGTTAGGTGAATTTTGCCCCATTTTATGACCTTTCTGGCCACAGTTGCTAAGCGAATCACTGCACTTGTCAAGTTAGTAACATAGTTGTTCAGTGAATCTGCCCCCCCCCATGGACTTTGCTTGTCAGAAGATTGCAGAAGCTGATCACGTGACCCCCAGGCACTACAAACGTCATAAATACGAATCAGTTGCCAAGCGTCTGAATTACGATCACGTGGCCACAGGGATGCTGCAACTGTCGTAAGTGTGAAAAATGGACATAAGTCACTTTTTTTCAGTGCCGCTGTAGTTTCGAATGGTCACTAAACAAACTGTTGAAAGTTGAGGACTACCTGTATCGTCTTTAGCAATTTGAGAAGGAAAACCCAGGTATAAATCTAGTGCACAAGTCTTGATAAGCCATGATATGAAATCACAGCATTGGGCTTTTATATGCTATTGTGATTTCTACGTTGATGTTTTCAATAAGCTTGGCCAACAGTGGCTTCTTTAACCAATCATTATGCAAGCTAACCACGACGCCAGGCAGAAATCCAGACAGTTCCTCTCGCTTCCGCCTGACCTCTGCTTCCAAAAGCTCCTTGTTCTTCTTCCCCGTCAGCTGGGATTTCAGCTCCATGATCTCAGCTTCCAGCAGATGGATGACTTCTTCGTAATCCTGCTCCGCGCTCTGGGCTCGCCACCGGAAGACTTCAGCAGCTTGCAGCTTGTTCTGCAGACATTGGTTCTCTTGAAGGAAGCTTGAGGCCTTCTAAGATTTGGGCAAGGAGAAGAAAAGAGATACAGGTGTCATGGCACAGGTGAGAATGACCTTGGGAGACAGGAGGAAGAGCTGCAGGCAAGGCAACGGTTAGGTAGGAAGCCGCTGAGCCCACAGAAGGAAAGAGGGTGGGGCAAAAGTCTCAGAAGGGATTTTCCGTGGTTTCCATAACTAACATTTTGATGATATGATTACTTTTCCCGATTTACTGATTTTCATTTGTTACTTTTGACTGTTAGTATTTATTTTTTTAAAGATTTTATTAGTAGTGTTTACTTAACAGATCAACGTATTTGTTTACTAATTGTTTTTAATATGTTACAGTTTAAGCTTTGTTTAAAACGGTTGAATATGATATTTACTCATTATTATGATCCGGACGGCTGCTTTTTTTGTTGAAATATGTGATTGTACCTATCCTTATTTTACCCTAATTCCTTATTTCCTTCCCCTCCCCCCTTCCTTTTACCCCTCCCAAATTTAATAAAATTTTGTAAAAAAAAAAAAAAAGGAGGGGAGAATAAGACTTGGAAGATTCTGTTACTCTAACCTTACAACGAAGTGGGGGAGGTTTGTCAGCTGGAAGGTTGACAGCCTGGGTTCAAGAGCTGACTGCTTACACGATGGGAAGAGGGTTCTTGCCCCGGTTCCTGCCCCCCCCCCAGCAGTTCGAAAGCAGGCAAATGCGAGTAGATGAATAGGTACCACTTCGGTGGGAAGGTAACAGTATTCCGCACACCTTGGCATATAGTCATGCTGGCCACATGACCATGCAAAAAATCTTCCTGACAGTGAAGAAAATCAACCAGTAGCATAGGGTTTCCTGTCTGAGCAGGGGGTTGGACTAGATGACCTCCAAGGTCCCTTCCAACTTTATTATTTTATTATGAGCAGCTTGCCTCCAGAAATCATGGGCACTCCATCACTGGAAATTTTAAAAAAGAGACTAGACCATCACCTGTTTGAGATGGTATAGGTTCTCCTGCTTGAGCAGGGGACTGGACTAGAAGACCTCCAAGGTCCCTTCCAGCTCTATTCTATTCTTTGGACAATGGTGGCTCCCTCGGCTAAGAAACAGAGATGAGCATTGCCTCCTAGAGTCTGACCTGATTAAACGAATGATTGTAAGTCAACGACCGCCTGTACTTAGAGTTCTAGCATAGTGAGCTACTGTCACAAAATGCACATTTAATTATGTGCATCTTCAGGTCAATGAAACAGAGGTGTGCAACCAGTTCCCATCACTGACCTGATTCAATTTTTGAAGCTCATCTTCCATTGACTTCTTATTGCTTTCCACCTCCTTCAGGAGAGACTGAGGGGGAGGGAAGGGAATGGGGAAGGGTTACAATCTCATCAATCCAGACAGTGCTTGATAATAATAATAGTAATAATAATAATAATAATAGAAGTAGTAACAAGAAGAAGAAGAAGAAGAAGAAGAAGAAGAAGAAGAAGAAGAAGAAGAAGAAGAAGAAGAAGAAGAAGAAGAAGAAGAAGAAGAAGTAGAAGAAGAAGAAGAAGAAGAAGAAGAAGAAGAAGAAGAAGAAGAAGAAGAAGAAGAAGAAGAAGAAGAAGAAGAAGAAGAAGAAGAAGAAGAAGTGCCTTGGGTGCAATCCCAAAACAACTGGAGCACCACTTGGACACCATCATCAGCACTGACAAATTTGCCATCAGTCAATTGCAAAAGGCAGCCTTCCATCCTGCGACGATATCTGTAATACCATCAAACATCCACATCTGCCTATCCCAGGTCCTTGGCAAGGACTCGATAAGTAGACAAAAATGCCAAATCCAGTCTGAACATCTGGCTGATTGTGTGAATAATAATAATAATAATAATAATAATAATAATAATAATAATAATAATAATAATAATAATAATAGTTCCCATTCCAGCAGACCTGCAACTTCCTGTTCCTCAAACCTTCTCAGAGTTTGATATCCTTTGTCATGGTGTCCTTCAGCTGTCAGCAAACCAGCTTATCCAACCGTAGCTTCCAATGGAGAAGAGCCTCCTTGACATCATTTTAATAAAAGTCAGGAGACTGATGGCCACACCATCAGGAAAAAAAAAATCAATCAGGAAACTTAGACTGCAGGTTTGAGCTGAAGACCAATTATCGCGGCCTTTTGCGCATCCCTGTCTTGACAAAAGGTCTCTGCCTTTTCCAAGTAGATGTAGAATCATAGATGGAAAGGATTTTGGTCTTCTCGTCCAGTCCTTCCCTTGCCCAAAGCAGGAGACTGTAGATTTGATAGGTAGCCGTAATCTAGTTAACTTCTTATAGAATCATTAGGAGCCATGGTGGCGCAGCAGTTAAAGTGCAGGATTGCATGCTAATTCTGCCCACTGCCAGCAGTTCGATCCTGACCGGCTCAAGGTTGACTCAGCCTTCCATCTTTCCGAAGATTGGTAAAATCAGGACCCAGATTTTGGGGGGGCAACAGGCTGACTCTGTAAACTGCTTAGAAAGCACTATGGATCAGTATATAAGTCTAAGTGCTATTGTTACTGCTATCATAAGACCAGAAGGGACTCTGGAGGTCTTCAAATCCTGTCCAAAGCAGGAGACTTTATACTATCCTGGACAAATGGCTGCTCATATGGAAGGAGCAGCATTGGGGATGTGCGGCTTAAACCCAACTTCTCCCCCCCAAAAATTGACAGAGTCTCTCCTTCCAGAAATAAAATCAAATTTTAACCCTGAAGCATCTCATAAAGCTAAACAAACAGGGTATGTTTCAACTGCCAATGATGGACAGACGTGCTCCTCATCCAGCATATTCCTTAACCTGCCTTGCCACAGAGCAGATTTAGCCTGAGACATTATCTGGGATGGTTGGGCAGTTCCAGGATGGGGTGGATATTAGGAGCAGCTAAAACTCAGAACCCATTTTGTAATCTGTTTTTTTAATTGGTGGGAATCACACTCCTGAAAGAACTCTTTGGCCCCAACCCCTGATCTGGGCCTATATAAGAAAGGCTGACTTCATCTATTCTGAGGCATGGTGGTGCAGTGGTTAGAAGGCAGTATTGCAGGCTGACTCTGCCCCCTGCCAGGAGTTCGATCCTGACAAGCCCAAGGTTGACTCAGCCTTTCATCCTTCTGAGGTTGGTAAAATGAGGACCCACATTGTTGAGGACAGTATGCTGACTCTGTAAACCGTTTACAGAGGGCTGAAGCATTATGGAGCAGTTTATAAGTCTAAATGCTACTGCTATTACTATTATGCCAGCGAATATTCAGCAATGTACATGAGATTAAGCCTTCTGGTTGACGGCCTTACCTTCAACCTCTGGACCTCCTGTTGCAATACCACCATTTCCAACTGTAGGTTGTCCAGCTTCTCATTCTCACTGGAACTGACAGACTCTGACATCTGTAAAGAGAAGTTGGTCCAGCCAAGAATGTTGATGAGTAAGCCCAACTTACCTATGAGATTCCTAAATCTATTTTGGTATGCTCAGAGCATTGATCGAGTATCTGGGCAAACGTGAATCACGATCACATGGTGGAGCACTAAGCTAGCCAGAGGATTTTGCAACCCAGGAAGGACCCTGAAATTATGGGATTGAGAGAGAGAAAGATCTGCTGATGTCTCTATGGAGATTCTCCGTCATCCAGGTCATGGCTGTCCCAAGCATGCTTTTTCAAAAGGCAACTGGACTTTTCTTGTTTTGTTTTTGATTGAAAACGTTTTGCTTCTCATCCAAGAAGCTTCTTCAGTTCCTCCACTGTTCAGTCAGAAATTGAAGAAGCTTCTTGGAGGAGAAGTGAAATGTCTTCAAGGGAAAACAAAATCCAGTTGTTTTTTGAAAAAGCATCTTTGGGATCCGCTGATACGAATTCTCTACTTTCAAAGCGGCAATAGTGGTTTTGTGTACAGCTAAGCTCCGCCTCACTATCTCTAGCTAAGTGATATGTAAATCATCCCCAAGAAGACAGGTAGTTCGTGATTTACAACCGGCCCCTTTGCAATTGTACAAAGTTACGATGGATCCCCTCAAAAATAAACATGGGAAATTGCAATAAAGCTTCCGATAGTTCAACACTGACCGGAGAATGGAAAGCAGATGTGTCCAGCAAGGTAGCCACTTCATGCGGACTGAAAAGTGCAGAATTTGAATGGAGATCCGTGTCTTCTTCTGGAAGCAAGTCCTTGAGAACTTGGAGGAAATCTGAGTTCAAAAAGAAAGGAGGGACTCAGGCAAACCAGAAAGGCTGGTGACGTAATCTTAATTTAGCAGAAAGTTTGGAAAAACATCACTTCCTCTCTGCTCATACAAATGCTGTATTCGGGAGACTTATCTCCCCAACTCGCCATTAGAGGGAGGCCTCGCCCAACTTCTCGATCAACGCTGACCAAAGCAATCCTGGAATGGACTCTTCTCTTGCTTCCTAAAAGACACCCAGAAGAACGCTCCCAAAATTATGTCCGCTGTTCTAATGAAAGGCACCTCTCCTCAAACTGTTTTCCACCAGGTAGCCTCTCCCAATGCAGCATCCAGCTTTCCCACTCTCTGAGCTGTACCCCCAATCCTTTGACACAGCTATTGCTTATTCCAGCTGGGGATTAAGATAGTCAAAGCCCATTAGATCTGTGCGGTTCATTTAAGGAAGGCTGCAAGAAAGGTAAAAATAAACCCACTAATAAAACCCAAACGAAGAGCCAAAAGGTTTAGAGCAGGGCAACTTTAAGACTTGTAGACTTCAACTCCCAGAATTCCTCAGTCAGCACAGAATTCTGGGAGTCGAAGTCCACACATCTTAAGTTGCCAAGCTTGGACATCCCTCATCTTGTAGAGCAGGGGTCCCCTGCTCCGTGGACCAGTACCGATCCATGGACCAGTACCAAGCAGCAACATGCCAGCAACTGGTCCGCACAAACAAGCAAAGCCCCATCGTGGGATGCAGACAGCACACAAAATCACACCCTGTCCGGTCCGCGGAAAAACCTCTCTCCACGGAACCGGTCCCTGGTGGCCAAAAGGTTGGGGACCTCTGGTCTAGAGCAGTGGTTCTTTTTAATGCCGCAACCCCCAACCGGTCGTAAGTCAAGGACTACTCAACTGGTGCAGCACCGTTTGCCGAATGGGACTTTTGGCGGGCTCAGCAGGGCAGAGACAGCCTGGACAATTCCTATTGGCTTTTGAAAGCCAATAGAATTAGACTCTATTCAAGAGAGTCTATTCTATTGGCTTTCAAAAGCCAATAGAATAAAAGGGAGTAGCACAGCTAAGGAAAAGGGGAAAAAATGGCGGACTGCGTTGTTTGGCGACCCCCGTGAAATGGTCGTTCGACCCCAAATGGGGTCCTGACCCACAGGTTGAGAACCACTGGTCTAGAGAGAGATAGTAAAGGAGACTGGACACAGCATAAAGAGCCTCTGTGCAATTCCTATAGAAATTGAGAAAGGTAACCTCGAAATATGCAAGAGCTGCTACTTACTCAAAGGGGACAGAAACAGTCTCTTCTTAAAAACCTCCTGTGTGAGAGAGCACCCACAACTTTCAAAGCAAGCCATTCCACTGATTGATTGTTCTCCCAGTCAGGAAATGTCTCCTTAATTCTAGGTTGGCTCTCTCTTTAGTGATGTTCCCCATGTTACTTCTTGTCTTGCCCTCAAGTGTTTTGGAGAATAAGCCAATCCCTTCAAATATTGGAAGACTGCTATCACATTACCCCTACTCCTTCTCTTCATTACACTATCCATTCCTAGTTCCCTCAATTGTTCATCATGTTTTAGCCTCCAGACTCTTTTCCATATTTGTTGCTCGTCTCTATTTTCTTTCTAGCATCTCAGCATCTTATTTGTACCATGGTGAGCAGAACGGGAGGCAGTATTTTAAGTGGTGTCTCACCAGTGCAGTACAAATCAACAAAGCAAGAATAGCTGCCAGTCGTAAGAATCAACCAAACAAGAACTTTGGGGGGATAAAAGGGGTTCTGAAGCCCACCCACTCTTTGGATTGTCTTTGGATCCAGACTTGGCAACTTCCATCCCTCTGGCTAGTGCTTGGCAGCCTAGATGAGAATGATGTGGGTAGGTATGTGTCTGCATGTGTACACACGTAAGAAAGAGCAAGCGTACACTGTAACCAGCAAAGTTTTGCCATTACTTCGAATTCACTGGGTCTCCGTGTAGTTCCAAAGAACTAGTTATGCTTCCATGTTCAGCTGAAAGTGATTTAATTGTAGCTGTTCACCAGGTCTGTGAATGTGTGAACCAGTTGCCGAGCATCCAAATTTTGATCAGGGACCGTACATTGAACTTGGGAGCAAGTGTAACAGGTATGTGGGAATGACCTTGGAGACAGGAGGTAGAGACTCAGCCTAGTCAACCGTCTAATAAACGAAGCCTGAGTCTGCAGGAGGAATGAGGGTGGTCAAAGCAGAAGGAATCCTCTCTAGGAAGGTCAGATGTTAGTCCTTCGAGGCAATGTAGAAATGGACAAAACCAGGAATACTAGTTCTATGTTTTCTATAAGAACACAAATCCAAAGCACCAGAGGGCAGGACAAGAAACAATGGTTGGAAACTGACCAAAGAGAGAAGCAACCTGGAATTAAGGTGAAACTTCCTGATAGTGAGGACAGTTAACCAGTGTGGAACAGCTTGCCTCCAGAAATTGTGGGCGCTCCATCACTGGAGGTTTTTAAGAAGAGATTGGATAGTCACTTGTCTGAGATGGTATAGGTCAGGGGTAGGCAACCTTGGCTCTTTTATGACTCCTGGACTTCAACTCCCAGGAATAAAAGAGTCAAGGTTGCCTACCCCTGATATAAGTTCTCCTGCTTGAGTGGGAGGCTGGACTAGAAGACCTCCAAGGTCCCTTACTTCTCTTCTCTTCTCATTTCTATTTCTATTTCTATTCTATTCTATTCTATTCTATTCTATTCTATTCCATTATCTATTTCTATTTCTATTATTCTATTCTATTCTCTATTCTCTATTTCTATTTATTCTATTCTATTCTCTATTCTCTATTTCTATTTATTCTATTCTATTCTATTCTCTATTTCTATTTATTCTATTCTATTCTGCTCTGCTCTGCTCTGCTCTACTCTACTCTACTCTATACTCTCCTCTCCTCCTATTCTATTCTATTCTATTCTATTCTATTCTATTATTCTATTCTATTCTATTCTATTCTGTTCTGTTCTGTTCTGCTCTGCTCTGCTCTGCTCTGCTCTGCTCTGCTCTGCTCTGCTCTACTCTACTCTACTCTACTCTACTCTATTCTATTCTATTCTATACAGAATATTGAAAGCTGAAAGTACCTCTGCAGTTTTTTTCTTACCTCCGTAGGCCACTGTGCCCTGGGAGTCGGTTGTCAGTCTCTGCCATAACTGCCTTTTCTTCTCTTCACTCATATCTAGGTTTAAGTACTGTAACATCTGGAAGTCAAAAAAACAGGCCGTTATAAGAATGACACCAATGATAAGATGGGGAGGGAAAAAAATAGAAGAAACATTGATATTCATTTAGAAATGTGGTTTCATTCTCCTAGTACAAGTAAACCTCAGCTTATAACAGTTCGCTTAGTGATTGTTCAAAGTTACAATGGCACTGGAAAAAAGTGACTTATGGGCATTTTTCACATTTATGACTGTTGCAGCGTCCCCGTGGTCACGTGATCTAAATTCGGACGCTCGGCAACTAGTTCATATTTATGATGGTTTTGCAGTATCCCAGGGTCACATGATCCCTTTTTGTGACCTTCTAACCAGCAAAGTCCACGGGGAAGACAGATCTGCTTCACGGTTACTAGGTTACTAACTTAACAACTGCAGTGAGTCACTTGACAATTGTGGCAAGAAAAGTGGTAAAATGGGGCAGAGCTCAGCTAACAAATGTCCCACTTAGCAAACATAAATTTTGGGCTCAATTGTGGTCATAAGTCAAGGGCTACCTTCATCTCCATCCACATTCTAGACAGCCTCCAGAAGGTTGCAGATCCCAGGTCTTTGAGCGATGGCCTTGCACTTTGGCGAATTTTGGAGCTGAAATCTACACCATTGGAGGGTGCTCAGGTTAAGTAAAGGGGTTCTCCTACACCCAAAGTCACCTTTAAGATGGAAACCTTCTTGGAAGGTCATCTCGGCATCACACCTAATCAGAAATGGAAGACTTCCTTAAAGGTGGACCCAAGTCTATGGGAGGGTCTTTCAGGAAAAAGCAGAGAGTGGAAGTCTCCAAGTATGGGTCATGACTTGGAATCAGTATGTGTTCTTCATTTCAAGCCATGAAATTAATCCATTGAAATATAATCCAAAGAATTATTTCAGGTGCATACAAGGTGCTTAGAAGATGATAGGGCCAACCGAATACAAGTTAGCTTGGCCTCCCAAGATATAAAAACCCACCTAATGAATGAAACTTACATTAGTTATGACTAAGGAGCCTACACTAGATATGACAAGATCCTAAATCCAATCCTTGGATTTGTCTGGAATGCCCGATTAAGTTGGACTCACCAGTTCCAGTTTGCCATCCTTGAGACGGACGTGAGGGTCCAGGGGTACCTTAGGCTTGGGGGTTGAAGAGGATCCTTGCCTTGAAGGAGAATCAGGAGCTGAAAGGAAAGAAAGAATGGACAGAGCCAGCTAACTAGATATGTCTACCCTTTCAAAGAGAAGGATTAGGGGTGATTGATAGCTGTCTTTCAGTACTTGAGGGGCTGTCAAGGGATCAACCTATTCTTCAAAGCACCAAAGTGTAGGACAAGAAGTAACAAATGGAAGATTAACAAAGAGAGAACCAACCATGAATTAAGGAGAAATTTCCTGACAGTGAGAACAATTAATCAGTGGAACTGCTTGCCTCCATAAGTTGTGGGTGCTCCATCACTGGAGGCTTTCAACAAAAGATTGGGCAGCCATTTGTCCAGGATGGTATAGGACAGGAGTAGGCAACCTTGCCTCTTTTATGACTCGTGGACTTCAACTCCCAGAATTCCTGAGCCAGCCTGGATCAGCTTGGAAACCTCTCTCTTTCCCCTCAGCATGGATGGCTCAGGAATTCTGGGAGTTGAAGTCCATGAGTCATAAAAGAGTCAAGGCTGCCTACCCCTGATATAGGATCTCTTCTTTGAGCAGGGGGTTGGACTAGAAGACCTCCAAAGTCCCTTTCAGCCCTATCTTCTATGATTCTAACTTTTCTTCCCCCCGGGTGCCACCAATGAAATGTTGGAAAAGTATTGGGGGCAAATGATGAGTAGTAAATGGGTGTCTCCAAATTAAAAACAGACTGTGTCCTATATAAAAAATATTTTACCTTTAAACTTGCTGGAATTGGGGTCTATCTAGTCTAGTGAAAAGAAGGACCAGGGAGTGAGGAGACAGCAGTGTGCCAATATTTGAGGGGCTCCTACAAAGATGAGGAGATCAAACTGTTTTTCAAAGCACCAGATGGCAAAAGAAGAAACAATGGAGGGAAACTAATCAAGGAGAGAACCAACTGTGAACTAAGGAGAAATGTCCTAACAGTGAGAGCAATCAACCAATGGAACGGCTTGCCTTCAAAAGTTGTGGGTGCTCCAACACTGGAGGTTTTTAAGAAGAGATTGGACAACCATTTGTCTGAAATGGTATAGGGTCTCCTGCTCGAGCAGGTGGTTGGACTAGAAGACCTCTGAGATCCCTTCCGACTCTCTTATACTGTCTTCTATGTTCTATCAATGCTCTCAGGAGCTGGCATCCCAAAACTTTGCATATCCTGCTATAATCCCATATCCCTACTCATTCCAGTGCAAAGTGTCTTTACCAGAAATGATGCACTCTGGTGGGCAAACATCTGGAGATGGTGAAGGCACAGGAAAGTGGCTGTTGTGTCTGCTCTGAAATAAAAAAAAAATGGAAAAAATGCAGGAGGAGAAAATTACCCAGGAAAGAAATAAAGTATGAAAAAGAAAGACAAATAAAAAAAACTCTCCTTTGAGTCTCTCAAAAATGCTTTTTCAAAAGGCAACTGGACTTTCTTCGTTTTTTCCTGGAGACGTTTTGTCAGATGCCACCTTATGTTTGCTTGTGCTTCACTGTAATGTAGTGACAGACTGCCGTGAACTGTGAGGAAGGGGAATGAAGCGGGGGATGCTTGGGAAAATGAAAGTAAGTTCTGTATCTCCTTGAGACAATGCCTCAAGGTTACCCAACTGGAAGAAGGAGAGAGATGCATATCAAACTGCGTTAGTACTGAACCGTTATGAAAATCCCTTGCTTGAACCTGATTGGGGTGGACAATAGGAGGTAGTTAAGGGAGGGAAAAAGTAGAATCAAGGGACTTTGGCCCGTGATTCTCAGTTCTGGCTTTGCAATACTACAATACACTTGATCTCTAATTGTTGTTGTTAATTGCGAAGTCGTGTCCGACCCATCGCGACCCCATGGACAACGTTCCTCCAGGTCTTCCTGTCCTCTACCATCTTCTGGAGTCCATTTAAGTTCACACCTACTGCTTCAGTGACTCCATCCAGCCACCTCGTTCTCTGTCGTCCCCTTCTTCTATTGCCCTCCATCTTTCCCAGCATCAGGCTCTTCTCCAGCGAGTCCTTCCTTCTCATTAATAAACTATACCTTTCTCAACAAATGGAACCAAGGATCATTTCTAATTAGAGGTTTAAGTTGTGGCAGGTCCGACACACTTCACTTCTCATCCAGGAAGATTCTTCAGTTCACTACAGTGCCAAAGTGGAAAATTTCCTAAAGGACAATGCTATGTATGAGATTCTGAAGAGAGGTCCCACCAGCAGTTATAAGAAAAAGGTTATTGAATTCCTGCAACCACTAATCAAGGACAATGCCATTGACAAGCCCAAGTACTATTGTCTTTATCCTGGAGAAGCCACTCCATGCATATATGGACTCCCCAAAATCCACAAAGAGGGAACTCCACTCAGACCAATTGTCAGAAGCATCATCTCCATCACCTACAATGATGCGAAACATCTAACCACCTTTAGGCCCTCTGATCAGCAACGCTACCCATCGCAACAAGTCACAGGACTTTGTTGGAAAGGTTTTAAAACTAAAACTGGATCCGGATGAAACTGTGGTTTGCTATGACTTCACTCTTCACCTGCATTCCAACTACTGAAGCTGTCACAGTAGTGAAGAAATGACTGCCACAAGGCAGCACATCAGGCGACAGAACCAACCAGAACTGAAGAAGCTTCTTGGATGAGAAGTAAAGCCCCACACCCCCTCACACTGATGGGGTTACATAGTTGGGTAACGATATGTCTGCAAAGCAAGAACCAGGCTCTGAGAGCACCAAGGACTCAAGCCAATATTAATCTGGTCCAAACCTATTCCAACTTTCTGAAGTTAGCCAAGATCAACTAGATTCTGCAATGCAGGTTGCTATCCCACAAGATTCAGTGGAAAAGTCGTTTTCCTAAAACCCAACCGGAAGTGTAGCTTGGTATGACTTTTCCCAAAGCATCCTGAGGTTCGAGTTGGATTAAGATTAGTCATGCTGAGAAATTATTCACCTCTTACTTCTGTCTGAGGTTTTGTTTGGCTTTGCAACGCTCCAGTCTGTTAATCTGCTCTGAAGACGTTTTAAAACTATTATTATTATTATCCTGCACTCTGGATGTGTAATCCTGTTCATACCTTTTCTGCCTTGCTCTGGAATTAGATGGGCCCAAAGGCTATGTAGGAATGCAATGATTAAATAAATCAGTGTGTTTCCCTTGCAGAACTTGACCACCACCACCCATCCCACAAAGAAAGGGTATAATTAAAAATCCAGTGGTCTGTGGGGCAATCGGCTCTTTTCACAGTAGTATACTGGTTCCAACCCCCCCCCCCCAAGGAAAATAGTCAATCAAGGATGCTGGCAGAAGATAAGATAAGCCTATTACAACTGTTACGTAACTGTAATAGATCAAATGTGTTTGCAAACATGCACAAAAAGTGGAATGGAGTAGTAGACTGACACCTCTCTGAGTTCCTTAACTCTTCTTCCCAGACTCCCCGTCGGGTCCACCATCTTTGACTTGGTGCCTCGCTAGCGTCCTGGACCAGGGGAGAGGGAGACGAATGGACAATAAACCTGAATGCAGCCTGTGTGAGGATTCGAAAGGGGGAAATGACTGCTGAAGAAAAACAGATGTCTTCAAGGCCATTTGCAGTGAGTGTGGAAAGTTACCAGCCCAAACACCTCAGCGTTCCCAAAACATCTCAGCTGTGGCATCGCAATTGTGGCTGGCTTGGACTGGTCATGGGGGAGGGACGGGAATGAATGAAGGAGATAGTTTTGTATTGATGCGTGGGAAACTCAGATTCCGCCTGACTTTACTGCAACCAGCATCTCTTAGTAAAAGTACCTTTCACTTCAACCAAATGGAGTCTGACACTCCATACTGCATTGTTTCGCAACCTTGGCAACTTTAAGATGGGTGGACTTCAACTCCCAGAATTCCCCAGCCAGCATTCCCCAGGCACCAAATTATCCTAGGGAACTTCACATGGATTTCCTTTTACCAAACAAGAAAAAATATCATCACCCCTGATGTACAAAATGCAGTATAGTTGCTGTGAATGTGTCCAGACAACTGGACAATTCTGGAAGTTGAGTCCACACATTTTAAAGTTGCCAAGATCAGAAAACACTCTTCTGTTCTGTAGGTATGAAATACTGAATCTCATTACTCTAATATCTGATTAAATAATTATTTTAATAGTTTGGACTATTAGAATTCAGCGTACTTTCATATAAATCAGCACCTTTTTAGTTCCTGGTGGATATCTGGATGAGTTTTCCCTGCCTTTTCTTTTGCTGTATTTTTTCATACTGTATATGTTCTGTTTTTACTGGTTTGTTGTTGTTGTTAATTGCGAAGTCGTGTCCGACCCATCGCAACCCCATGGACAACGTTCCTCCAGGTCTTCCTGTCCTCTACCATCTTCTTTTACTGGTTACTGACCAGAATTAATTTTATCCCTCTCATAAAAAACATATCCAGAGCAGGGAGTACAGAAGAGGACTAGGGTACAGAGAAACAAACATCTTCGATCTGTCCTTGTTTTTTTAAACAAAAAACAAAATTAAAAAACCAGCCTAATTCACATTTAGTTCCATATCTCACTTCCTACCTTTTTCTTCTGATTCAGCAATTCTAAACCCAAAATTGTGTGGTGGGATCTCCAGAATAGGGAGTGGGGTGAAGAGACTGCTAAAGGTAAGGTCCAAAGGGGTTCATGACCACCACTTTGGCAGGGATTAGATGGTCAGGTTTGAGAGTAAAGAACTTCAGTGGATGAATAAAAATCAAAGCTGGCTCATCATGGTTAGAAGTCTTTACCTCTGGGAACCTCACATGGACCTTCCACCTGTTCTCTCTTGTGGACAGTGAGTGGGCCCCGTTGTTTGCACAGTGTCCTGGGTGAAGTTGTCCCCTTCCTGGAACGAAGGCCACTTCTGTATTTCCTTCATGTCTTGAGAAAGAGAAGAGCAATTTGTTTATAAGGAGACCGGCGAGCAGGGGATGCTTAAAAGAAGAAGGCAGTTAGTAAACATAGGTAGCCCTTCACTTACAACCATTCGTTTAGTGCAGTGGTTCTCAACCTGTGGGTCGGGACTCCATTTGGGGTCGAACGACCATTTCACGGGGGTCGCCAAACAACGCAGTCCGCCATTTTTTCCCCCTTTTCCTTAGCTGTGCTACTCCCTTTTATTCTATTGGCTTTTGAAAGCCAATAGAATAGACTCTCTTGAATAGAGTCTAATTCTATTGGCTTTCAAAAGCCAATAGGAATTGTCCAGGCTGTCTCTGCCCTGCTGAGCCCGCCAAAAGTCCCATTCTGCAAATGGTCCTGCACCAGTTGAGTAGTCCTTGACTTTCAACCGGTTGAGTAGTCCTCGACTTACGACCGGTTGGGGGTCACGGCATTAAAAAGGTTGAGAACCACTGGTTTAGTGGCTATTCAAAGTTACAACGGCAGTGAAAAAGTGACTTGCAACCGTTTTTCACACTGACGACCACTGCAGCGTCTCCTCGGTCACGTGATCAAAATTTGGAGGCTTGGCAACTGGCATGTACTTATGACAGTTGAAGTGTCCGGAGTCACGTGATCCCCTGTTGCGACCTTCTGACAAGCAACATCAACGGGGAAGCCAGATTCACTTAGCAACCGTGTTCCTAACTTAACAGCCACAGTGATTCACTTAACAATGGTGGCAAGAAAGGTTGTAAAATGGGGCAAAACTCACTTAATGACTGCCTTGCTTAACGATGGAAAGGTTGGGCTCAATTGCGGTCAAAAGTCAAGGGTTACCTGTAAGAAACTTCGGAGAAAGGGAGTTCTCATATGGTACTAAATAGACAGATCGGTCCTCAAACTGAGCCCCTAAATTTCTTGAACTGTAATTGCAAGGAGGGTGCAATGTAGTTGTGGGACTGAATCTCAGACTCGTCAGTTCCTCTCCTCTTGACAGTTCTCTAAAAATGTGAAAACTTCTGTTGTGTATTAAACTAGCCTCTGTTTTTTATTATGTCTGAACCTGAATCCCCTTAGCCTAAATATAGTCTGTGCCCTTACAGTAGTGCCCAAAATTGTGGAAACCTTTTCGGAAACGTGTACAGTAGAAATGCCACTTTGGGTTAAGTTTCCACCCATTTGTCTTCTAAGATCTTTATAGCAGTAGCCTTATTCACTTAATAATACTATTTTACATCGCTTTCTGGGTGACCAGTCAACTCTTTGCACCATGACTTTAATTTTATGACGTTTTACAAGCTCACTAAACAAAAGAACACAAAACCCCCCCCCCAACCCACTGGATAGCAATCACATAACACACTGACAAATGTCCTCCTCTCATCTTCAATACATGACATCCATCACTGGATCCTACTGTGATCTGATTGGCTCATTGCCAAAACAAGATGACATCTGATTGGCTCTCTAAACACTCATGTTCATTGGCTACAATCAGATGAAGGAAAGCTACCTGATATCAACCTAAGCAAGTTGTGCTTCCTTTTTCTGGTTATTTGGCTATAACCTTTCATAGAATACAGTACAGATAATTGAACAAACTATGTTGCCTTACATTCTTGATTAAATTATCTTTCCATTGATATATAATTTTATGGTCCTACTCCCCCCCAAAAGTGGTGTTATTAGCCATCCAATCTCAAAAATACACTTTTCCCAAGAGGTTCCCACAATTTTGGCCACAACTGTATGTTGTTTTCAGGGGACATCGCATTATCCAAACAGGCACCCTGGAATCATGAAATTAAATTTCCATTGCACTTTGCCGAATAGGAATGCTACTAATAAAATCTGCACATTGATAAAGTTTCCATCTGTCAATTACAAAAGGCCACGCTGTTTGCATCCCGCACGTATATTATGCCGATACATTACGACTTCCTAGATTCTTGGGAAGACTTCAAGAGGTATGGAGGCCAACACCAGATAAAAAACTGGCAACTATGATTCCATTTAGACAGCGGGATGAGCTGCATATAAATGTAAAAAAAAATAATAATTGAAAATTCACGTTGTGTATATAATAATAAAAGTAACAATTTGTTAAATTAACAGGCGATCTGACTTTAGCCAAATTTTATACCATTTCTTGATGGAAAGCTACTAAGGTATGTCAGTTATCTCTCATGACTGCATGACATTTACATGCATTGTGCAACCACATCATGGAATCCGGATGAGTTCAGCCCGCTGCCTCACAGCACATTGTGGTTAATGTTTTGGTCAGGAAGTATGAATAAAGATGATACCATCAACTCTTCAAGATAAGCCAAGTCAACCTTGCAGGAATTCCAAGAATGCTCTTTTATTGTTCTAGAATGCAGCGATACAATCTTGAAACTCGTCCAAGTTTCTCCCTGCCCTGTCTTATACCGAACCAAATCAAGGCAGGCTTATTTTGAGTTTCCTTCTATCTCTGTATAAATCTCTGTGTAATCTCTGTCTAAACTGCATCCAAGCCCCTTGTTCATGGCTCCCTCTTTCCCCCAGATCAGCAATAAATACCTTTAGGCATACCTATGCCAACTCTATTTCAGATGATGCCTTCAAAACCTATAGAGAACCAGTTGAGTATCATGGTTAAGGCACCAGGCTAGAAACTGGGAGAGTGAAAATTCAAGTCCCACCTCAGCCATGAAAGCCAGGAGACGGTGAGTTCTAATCCTGCCTTAGCCATGAAAGCCAGCTGGGAGACTTCAGACCAATCACCAGGAGACTGTGAGTTCTAGTCCCGCCTTAGCCATGAAAGCCAGTTGGGTAATTTGGGGCCAGTCCTTCTCTCTTAGCCCAACCTTAGTCCTTAGTCCTTAGTCTTAGTCCTTCTCGCAGGGTTGTCGTTGTGGGAAAAATAGGAGGAAGGATGTGTTGGAGATGTTCACCGCCTTGACTTATTTGTAAAAATAATAAGGGTGGGATATGAATAAATAAATAAACTCCAAAGCAACACTTTACCTGGACAAATTCTTTGCAACTATCCTTTTAGCCTCCTCATACGTAGCACCCAGCAACGGGTCTTTATTGATAGCAATTAGCTGGTCTCCAACTTGCAGGCACCCATCCTGAAGAAAGTGGAGAAAACAATAACAGTGGAAAAAAATCAAGTTTTATGTCTTGTTACTTCAATTCTCCTTCCTTACAAAGCTCTTTATTGCAACCAGAACACCTCTGAAGGAAAATCCCTGTTTCTGTTCAAGACACAGATTGTTGTTGTTAGTTGCGAAGTCGTGTCTGACCCATCATGACCCCATGGACAACGTTCCTCCAGGCCTTCCTATCCTCTACCATCTTCTGGAGTCCCTTTAAGCTCACGCCCCCTGCTTCAGTGACTCCATCCAGCCACCTCCTTCTCTGTCGTCCCCTTCTTCTCTTGCCCTCCATCTTTCCCAGCATCAGGCTCTTCTCCAATGAGTCCTTCCTTCTCATTAGTTGGCCAAAGTACTTGAGTTTCAACTTCAGGATCTGGCCTTCTAAGGAGCAGTTGGGGTTGATCTCCTCTAGGACAGACTGGTTTGATCGCCTTGCAGTCCAGGGGACTCGCAGGAGTCTTCTCCAGCACCATAGTTCAAAGACAGAGATAGCAACATATAAAACCAAAGTTCTTCGGGTGTTTGTCCTACCTTACTGCAGTCGCCTTCCTGTTGAATGTCATGGACATAAACCATCGGTCCATCTGATCGGTTGGTTCCTCCACCAACGGTTAGCCCCAAGTCAGAAAACTTTTTTACGGTGACGCTTTGGATCCCAGATCCAACGGAACAGCTATGAATAGAGAAGTTAGCTCAAAAAGAAGTTCAATACATTGAGTCCTGTTCAAAGATGTACCCCTTGATTTGGCCCAGTTTGTTTAGTGACGTTTGACGTTACAACGACACAATAAAAAGTGACTCGTCACCATTTTTCACACTTATAACTGTTGTAGCATCCCCTGGGTCACGTGATCAAAATCCAGGCGCTTGGCAATTGGTTCATATTTATGAGGGCCGCAGCGTCCTGGGGTCACGTGACCCGCTTTTGCAAACGTCCGGCAAGCCAAGTCCATGGGGAAGCCAGATTCACTTAGCAACTGTGTTATTAACTTAACAACTGCAGTGATTCACTTAACAACTGTGGCAAGAAAGGTCATAAAATGGGGCTAAAACTCACTTAAGAACAGTCTTGTTAGCAGCAGAAAAGCTGGAGTCCGTTGTGGTTGTAAATCGAGGACTAACCTGTACAGAAAAGGGAACTTCCACCTTTCCGGGTACACGGAGTATGGAAGATCAGAGGAGTTTCCTCCACACTTCTCTTTTTCCCTCTATTTACTTATGTATTTTTGTATTTTAGATTGTAAAAAAATGGATTAAAAATATATATTTAATATTACATGTATTGACAGCTGCGAGAATAGCATTTGCTCAATATTGGAAAAATGAAAACACACCATCTGATGAGATCATAATTAGGAAAATCTTAGAAGGTGCAGAAATGGACAGATTAACTTTAGAAATTAAAGAGAAAGAAGACTCGGTCTACTTTACAACATGGGGAAATTTCTACCAATGGTTAGCAAAATGATGGTGAAATTTAACAAGATGAATGATATTTACTGATTAATTGATATGCTTTATGATCACTGTTATTTTTATTGATTATAGCCATTTACTATCATATTAATTATTGTTATTGAATACTTGTATCCGGACAATAGTCTGCTTGCTAAAGCGTGGAAATGTTACTGGGGGTAACCCCATTGTTGTACCTACCCTTATCCTAACCCCATCTCTGAACCCTACCCTGAACCCCAATACCCATATTGACCCTATCCCTCCCCTACCTTGATAAAACCTAATAAAATATTGTTAAAAGAAGAGGAAGAAGAAGAAGAAGAAGAAGAAGAAGAAGAAGAAGAAGAAGAAGAAGAAGAAGAAGAAGAAGAAGAAGAAGAAGAAGAAGAAGAAGAAGAAGAAGAAGAAGAAGAAGAAGAAGAAGAAGAAGAAGAAGAAGAAAAGAAGAAGAAGAAGAAGAAGAAGAAGAAGAAGAAGAAGAAGAAGAAGAAGAAGAAGAAGAAGAAGAAGAAGAAGAAGAAGAAGATCAGAGGGACCAGCCCAAGAGGTTCCATGAACTGTTGATGTATTTCTTCAGCCATCTAGTACATACTGTGAGACTGAGGGGTGGGTTTGTCCCGGATTTCCAAACAGCATCCCCTGGGAATGGATTGGGCTCAGCAACAGAGGGCTCTGGGAACAAGATGAGGACCCCGAAGAGGTGCTTTCCACAGACCTGCCTGAAGAACAGAGTCAAGGATAGCCATATAAGATGGACGAAGCGTTTGGACAGCGAGTGATACGGAATCAAGGCAGCGAGTTGAACCAAGGTTTATCTAGTGATGTTTCCATCTCTTGTCTCAGATCCTGTCTTGTGGTCTGGAACTTTGAGCCAGGAATCCACACAGCTGTGCACAGCTGCCCTGTGAAATAAGCACCATGACCACAGAGAGCTTCTCATGCATCCGAGGGTCCATGGGCACTAGATGTTGGAATGATGTCAGCCATCAGTAGAGATAAACCACATTTAGGTACTATTCAAAGGAGACAGTTAAAAAAAGAAAGAAGGAAACAAAAAGGCCAGAACACATCCTCTCCAGAAGCCAACATCCAGAGAAGCAGGGATTAACACTGGACAAACAAGCAGAAAACTAGATCCCAATCAAAGAATCTCCTCCTCCTCCTCCTCCTCCTCCTCCTCCTCCTCTACAAATCCCCCCCTTCTAGCACTGATGATGTTACCTAGTTAGGTAATGAAATGTTTCAAGAAAACAATCAAGCTCAGAGAGCACCAAGGATCCCACAGTCGTCCTCTTCCCCCTTCTAACCCCTTCCCCTCCTCCTGCTCCCCCTCCTCATCTCTACAAACCCCACTCCCTTCTAGCACTGATGATGTTACCCCGTTTGGTAATGAAATGTCTGCAAGAAAACAACCAAGCTCAGAGATCAAAGACACAACAGCAGTCCTCCTCCTCCTCCTCCTCCTCCTCTCCCACTCCACAAAGCCCACTCCCTTCTAGCCTTGATGATGTTACCTAGTTGGGTAGTGAAATATCTGCAAGAAAACCACCAAGCTCAGAGAGCATCAAAGACCCCACAGTCGTCCTCCTCCTCCTCCATCAACAAGTTCCGTATCATAAATACTTACTTCCAGTATGGGAAGTAGGTGAACTCTGTGCAGATCCTGAGCTGCTATGAGATCCAAATCTTTCCAGCAGGTCAGAGAATTCCTTGCTGAAGAAACAGAATATAATTATAGGGTAGCTTCATTTTTTTTTTTTAATCGGCTGCATCCTCCTGGATACGTTTCTTTTGATTCTATTCTTAGGGTTTTCTCAGGAACTCCCCTTCACCAGCACACTTCAAAGGCAGCAATATTAATGTAGTAAAATCGGTAGTTCACATCTGGCTGTTGTACAGACAGTAAATTTGGCAGTATCTAAAATTAGACATTCTAGAACAGTGTTTTTCTCAACCTCTGCAACCTAAAGATGAGTGGACTTCAATACCCAGAATTCCCCAGCCAGCATGCTGGGCAAGTCCCTGAGGTTTTCCTGGCTTTTTCAAAAGTGTTTTATTCTTAGGAAGAGGGATTGGTCCTGGGAAGCCAGCTAACTTTGTGGTTAATGCAGGATTAGAACTCATGGTCTTCCAGTTTCTAGCCCGCTGCCTTTAACCACTACACCAAGCTGCCAAGAACATTAGAGATAGTCAGATGCCTCCATATAATGCCTAAGGTAAACATCTGGCATTTTGATGATGTTTGTTTTGTATCTCAAGGAATCATTCCTCATTTAAGTCCTCCTCCTCTTCCTCTTCCCGCTCTTCCTCCTCCTCCTCCACCACCACCACCACCATCACCACAATTGCAAAAGCATCCTTCATTTTCACTGGCTGTCAGTATAACATGAATGCCCATTGTAAAACAGCTAGTGAGTCACTGTTATTTTAGCTATCAGCCTTCCAAATAAAGTATTCAAGAGAAGCAAGGCTAAAATTAAAGGAACAATCATCAATCAAGTTTGGCTTTGGGATATATAGGTAGGACGAAACACCCCTCCCCAAATACTTGGAAAAACCCAACCTAAATAAAACAGCTAAATACATGTAAAGCATTGCATATAATTGAATAAAGACTGCCCGTGTTGTAATATATTTATCTCATTTTATTAGTCTTGCAACGTTCATGTTTTTGGAGCTCTTCAGATGCTGAGATATACTATTGATGAGTAGGTCAGGGGGAAAAAATTAAGAGGATGTGTAAAACAATCACAAAATCAACATAGCCTGTTAATAAAAGCAAATCGGGTCACTTGAAATAATGGGGCTGTCTTTCTCAAGTCATGTTACTTGAACACCGTGTGATCTTATGCAAAATAAGCATGATGAAGAATTGCTTCCAAAGAGATCCATTGTCCATTCTGAATAAAACATAAATACCTACCGAGCGTCGTCATCCCTGGTAACAAGAAGGCGCATATAGCTGGTGCCAGAGGCTGTCCTTAGGATCTCCACAGCTCTGTTGGAAGTTAAGAAAAGGAGCAGGAAATGAGCTAGACTTGCAGTTGATGCTCTTCAAAAAATATTAATCAGCTTCCACCTAAAACACGTGCCTGGCTGAGGAATTCTGGGAGTTGAAGTCCACAAGTCATAAAAGGGCCAAGTTTGAAGACCCCTGACCTAAAACATCATCAATCATCAATTTTCAATCATCAATTTTATGAGCCATTGGATAGTCTGACTTGATTCGGTCCTGTTGACTATTTGACCGAAGCTTCTCAAGATAACCAGGAGACTTAAAGATGCAATCATAATATAATGCGCTGTTCCAAATAACTCATTCTTTTGTAATGGATGAGTTGGCATGCTCCCAATTTGGATTGTGTCCAAGTGCTTATTCAGATCTTTTAATAACAGCACCAACTTTGCCAACCATTATTGGCACTCCTACAACTTTCTTTTTCCAAATTTGGTTGACCTCCATCTGAAGACCTTTACATTTCCCTATTTTCCTCTATTTCTTTTTTTATCTCCATTTCCATCTGCAACTACCACAGTGTCAGTTATCCATACTTGTTGTCTCTTTATTGTTATTACTGGTAGGTAGAAGTCCCTGTTTAAAAAGAGCAGACCTGATTTATACATGGAGGGAAGACCACCAGGAGATCTCACGGCTGTAGGCCAGGTTTGGAAGATGAAAACATCCCAGAAAAAGACTAAGGCAAACAAATTTGATGTTTTTTGCCTCAGGGTTGTGTAGCCACCAGAAATCAAATGATGATTTAAAGAGTCTTTTCCTGAGATAATGGGAAAATGATGGATCCAGTTTAGTTAGCTTATTTAGGAGGGACACTAGATTTGTGTAGTGTTGCCTGAAGGTGAGCAATTGAGCATGGAAAGAAATGACCAAGGAATTACAATAAGATCAGAAAAGTCAAAAGAATAATTTAGTATTATGTTAACAATAAATAAAATCAGGCCAGGTTTATGTGTGGCTGGATGGAGATTGAATTCTTGAAGTGGGACTTCCATAGCATTGCTAACCAGGATCTGAAGCATAAAATTTGAGCCCTGAAATACACTCAGAGGCTTCATTCAGATGTGATACCTCTCATTGGTAACACCAATCAGACTGTCTCCATTCACTTCTAAGATCTGATCTCCTGGCTGCAGCCGACCTGGAGAGAAAGAAGGAGATGGGAGAAGAAAAATGTCACAAAGAATAGTAGTGTTGTGTACATGTTTTTATGCACAAGCATTCCTTGTGATTATTTTGGACCTACACAACTGCACTGCTGACAATGAAAATGATGGGAAAACAATCATTAAAATCATTTGATTTTTCAGATCTTCCTTCCACAAACAGCCTTTTTGTAATTTCATATTTTAATTTTAACTAAATCAATTTAACTTTTCTCTAGATCAGGATATGAAACTAGAGGTATTCCAAGATGCCAGTTTGAGAGGGGGAGAAAAATGTCCAGTTATGAGAAGTCCAAATTTATGCAGAACAGAATAGAGTGGAATGGAATGGAGTGGAGTGGAGTAGAGTAGAGTAGAGTAGAGTAGAGTAGAGTAGAGTAGAGTAGAGTAGAGTAGAGTAGAGTAGAGTAGAGTAGAGTAGAGTAGAGTAGAGTAGAACTGGAATGGACCTTGGAGGTCTTCTAGTCCAGCCCCCCACTCAAGCAGGAGAACCAACACCATTTCAGACAAGTGACTGTCTAGTCTCTTCTTAAAGACCTCCAGTGATGGAGCGCCCACAATTTCTGGAAGCAAGCTGTCCCCCTGGTTAATTGTCCTCACTGTTAGGAACTTTCTCCTTAATTCCAGGTTGCTTCTCTCTTTGGTCAGTTTCCAACCATTGTTTCTTGTCTTGCCCTCTGGTGCTTTGGAGAATAGTTTGATATAACATGCTGATATAACATTTTGGGCAAATGATTCTGATTCATTTTTCAAAGAAGGATTATTCTCAGAAGGTGTATCAGAAAAACCAACTCTGATCAACTTCAGGGCATTTTTTCACAGCGTTATATCAGAAGCAATATTTTAGATGCTCTTCACTAAGACTATCTTCCAATAAACCCCATGAGGAGCTGTCCTTGGTGCTGACAATATACCAGTTGGACTTACTGTACCGGCTCCTTTTTGCCAGTGTTGACACTGACCAGGGACCTGAAATGCATTTTTTAGATATGCCCAAATGTATTGAGTTAAGGTTTACTGCACCTTCACCAACAAAAGGGATGCTCCCTTAAATTTCCCTGATTCAAATTCCCACTAATCCATTTTGCAATTGTCTGAATTGATGGAAATCTGAAGACCTTCCAAGCATTCAACACAACCTAATATCTCTAACTGGGAGGTTTTGAGCCACAGAGGTAAGCGATAAAAACTTACCATCAATGTAAGCCACTCCTCCTGGTAGGATTCTCTTAACATAAACTCCATATTCTTCTCCCGTGAATTCTTTAACTCCACCAATCACTTTGATACCTATCCATAAAAAAAGAAATACAGTGCGGTCACCAGTGGCCAATGTAAATCCTGTTCTAAATATTATACTTTCTCCCTTGCTGAATCAGGAGGGCTTTAAGTTAATGGAGACACCAGAGTGAGTGAAAATACTTTCAAATAAATATGCATTTATTCCACTGAGAATTAGCTAAGCCCAGCAGAATGCATTGGGGGCATCTTTGTTTAGATCAAAAACAGAACAATTAGCTCCATGTTTATTTTATTTTTTTATAACAAATTTTATTAGTTTTCCAATTTAACATCCAAGTATTTAGAAAGCAACGTGGTGACTAGGTAATCAATAGTTCAGTAACAGCATTTGTAGTACATATCTCAGGTTACATTGTCAAAAATTCCTTCTCTATTCCCCGTTAACATTTGATATAACATAGTTAAACTAGTAAATTTCTAACCATAAAAAGTCAATTAAAGCATTTCTCAATCTACCTTTTGCTTATACATATCCATATCCTGTTTTTAAGTTTTACCAAATTCTTAATTTCTAATTAGCTCCATGTTTATTGAGGTAGCTTCTTTTAGATGAATTGGCCATGTTCTTTTGGGGATCATTTTTGGTTTCACAGAATAACAGAGTTGGAAGGGGACCTTAGAGGTCTTGTAGTCCAGGCAGGAGACTCTCTCTCATTTCAGACAAATAGTTGCCCAATAATAATAATAATAATAATAATAATAATAATAATAATAATAATAATAATAATAATAAGAAGAAGAAGAAGAAGAAGAAGAAGAAGAAGAAGAAGAAGAAGAAGAAGAAGAAGAAGAAGAAGAAGAAGAAGGAGAAGAAGAAGAAGAAGAAAGTTGGAAGGGACCTTGGAGGTCATGTAGTCCAACCTCCTGCTCAGGCAGGAACCCTACACCATTTTAGACAAATGGCTGTCCAGTCTCTTCTTAAAAACTGCCAGTGTTGGAGCATTCACCGCTTCTGGAGGCAGGTTGTTCCACTGGTTAATTGTTCTAACTATCAGGAAGTTTCTCAATAGTTCTAGGTTGCTTCTCTCCTTGATGAGTTTCCATCCATTGCTTCTGGTCCTGCCTTCAGGTGTCTTGGAGAATAGCTTGACTCCCTCTTCTTTGAGGCAGCCCCTGAGATACTGGAAGGCTGCTATCATGTCCCCCCCTCGTCCTTCTCCTCGTTAAACCAGACATACCCAATTCCAGCAACTGTTCCTTGTATGTTTTAGCCTCCAGTCCCCTAATCATCTTTGGAGAAACACAATTGTTAACAATGTTCACCTCAGATCAAGCAATCATTGGCCCAAGAACCTCTTTTATAGACATCCTTATCCCAGAGAAGCTTGACGGTCAAAGTCAACTCAAAGTCTGAAACGATTTCACCAGGAAGCTGTCACCTCTTGGTCACCCCATAATCCCAAAAGGGAAAGCTATTTTTATGTGCAGCTTTAGTGAGAAAATAGAAAAAGCTTAGAGGATTCTGTGAAGTGAGAAAAATCTCTGGTACTCTTACCCGTTTATTTCCATAATCCTATTTAGAAGGTGTGGCAGGAGGCCATAGCTCATCAGAAAACACACATCCCCATGCAGACAAACACCAAAGAGACGGGAAGGTGATTGCCCTCGACTTGCAACCCCAACTGAGCCCAAAATTTCTGTCGCTAAGTGAGACAGTTGTGAAGTGATCTTTGTCCCCATTTTACAACTTTTCTCGCCACGGTTGTTCAGTCAATCACTGCAGTTGAAAAGTTAGGAATACGGTTGCTAAGTGAATCTGGTTTCCCCGTTGACTTGGCTCGTCAGAAGTTCGCAAAAGGGGATCACATGATCCCCCGGACACTTCAACCGTCATCAGTACATGCCAATTGCCAAGCCTTCAAATTTTGATCCCGTGACCCAGGAGACGCTGCAGTGGTCGTCAGCGTGAAAAACGGTGGTAGGTCCCTTTTCCGCTGCCGTTGTAACTTTGAATGGTCACTAAACAAACGGTTGTAAAGTGAAAACTACCTGGATGTACGTGTATAATCAAAGCGGCAATTCTCCTTACAAGCTTCCCTCCTACATTGCTCTCTGGGGTTGATATGGAAAAACTGACAACTAACTTTCAGGAGAAATGTAAATACAGGTCGTCCTTGACTTACAACAGTTCATTTAGTGACCATTCAAAATTATGACAGTCCTGAAAAAAGTGACTTATGACCGTTTCTAATAGTTACGACCTTTGCAGCATCCCCACGGTCAAGTGATCAAAATTCGGATGCTTGGACACCGACTCATATTTATGATGGTGATCATGTCCCGGGGGTCACGTGATCCCCTTTTGCGACCTTCTGACAAGCAAAGTCAGTGGGGGAAGCCAGATTCACTTAACAACTAGGTTACTAGCTTAACAACTGCAGGGATTCAACTTAATCGCTGTGGCAAGACAGGCTTTACAATGGGGCAAAAACTCACTTAAGAAATGTTTCACTTAGCAACAGAAAGTCTGAGTGCAATTGTGGTTGTACTTTGAGGCTCCAGAGGGTATAAAAACCCACTCCCTGCATGTGTTCTCTCTCTCTCTTTTCTTCCAGAGCCATCTTTCGGTCTGGCTCTCCTCTTCAATAAACTGCAACCTTCTTTCTAAAGCAGTTGCCATGTTGTTTATTCCCGGCTTGGACTGAACCATGATGAAGATTTTTTTTTTCAAAAGTGTTACATTTAAAGGGATGGGAATATTAGACCAATACACTGGATCTGCTTCATTAGAAGCTGTGAAAGAAATATTTTCTTATGTCTTGAGCTGTGCGTTCGGAAGCATGGTTTGTAAGGTGGAAGCTTCGAATTGCAGAGGCTGAGTGCCTGGCTGCTGGAGTGCAGAGGAACAGAATAATCCTTGACCCAGTTCCTCGTCCACTATAACTCATTCATATCTGCTTAATATCACTTGCTCAGGGCTAACCTCTTATTAGAGAAAGCTCTGGGAAAAAAGGGTCCCACAGATTATCAAGCAATGAAGAAAACACGAGCTGATGAGTTATTCTATCAGACTAAAAGCAGAAGGACAGAATTAGAGGCTACTCTCGGGGCTATTAATGGCGACCTCAAGCCCTTCCCAGCTTCTGCAGGGCTAAAATTAGGCTCAGGTCTCCATTTTCTGATCTTTAGCCATTGCAAAGCAAGCACGGAGATCTGGGAACCGATCTGGTCTATGATCTGAGTAAAACAGGAAAGGGGAGAAGGAAGGCGCTGATGAGTCCATGAAGTCCTTGGTGTTCTCTGAACTTGGACATTTCTGGCAGACTTTTCATTACCAAACTAGGTAACCTCATCAGTGCTAGAAGGGAGTAGGGTTTGCAAAATGGAGGAGAAACAGAATGGGAGGAGGAGGAGGAGGAGGAGGAGGACGACGACTGTGGGGTCTTTGGCGCTCTCTGAGCTTGGTGGTTTTTCTTGCAGATGTTTCATTATCAAACTAGGTGATCTCATCAGTACTAGAAGGGGTCTGCAGAGTGAGAGAAACAGAATGGGGGCAAGAGGAGGAGGAGGAGGAGGAGGAGGAGGAGGAGGAGGAGGAGGAGGAGGAGGAGGAGGAGGAGGAGGAGGAGGAAGACGACTGTGGGGTCCTTGGTGCTCTCTGAGCTTGGTGGTTTTTCTTGCAGACATTTCATTACCACTCTCCCTTCATCAGTGCTGGAAGGGAGTGGATTTTGCAGAGTGGGGAGAGGATGGGGAGAGGAGGAGGAGGAGGAGGAGGAGTAGAAGGACGGGGGGATGGGGTCTTTGGTGCTTTCTGAGCTTGGTTGTTTTCTTGCAGATGTTTCATTCCCCAAACTAGGCAACATCATCAGTGCTAGAAGGGATTGTGGTTTGCCTTGAGGTGGGGCTTATTTTTACACGTCACTGAGAGTTGGGCGGTATATGAATTATTATTATTTGTGTTGCAACACCTCTTTAAAAAAAAGATGTGGGGCTTTAGTCAAAGGGGCTTGGCCACCATCTTGACCTTTTCGAAACCCTTCAAATATTCCTGCCTCGTGGGGCATCAGAAAAGTCACCATCCCACGATAAAAGTGTTACAAAAACAACGAGAGGAAGGGGAAGAGGGGAAGTCAAAAGGCTCAGCTGTGGGATCCCTGAACAAAAGCAAATGAATTGAAATTCCGCTGCTCTGTTTTCGAATCCCGCACACTCACCCAAGCCGTTGGCGCAGTCGTAGAAGTCAAAGCAATGCATGTGACGATCCATCCCGTGCGGTCCCATTAACGTCCTGAAAGAGCAGAGCAAAGGGGAGGATGAGCTGGGATACTGAGCTGCAGAAGAATGCACATAAACATAGAATTGATTTATTGGTTGAATAAATTTATACCCCCGCCTAATTCACAGTAGGCAGCTCATCATGTTTTTAAAAAATCCACCATACAATAAAAACCCATAACCCCACTCCCACCCCATACCCCAGGGAGGTAACAACATAAACAAATCAGTTACCTGATAAGCTGTGTCTACAGGTAGTCCTCGACTTACAACAGTTTTTGACCTAAGGTTTGGTTTTGAACTATTGAAGTCCCCCATTAAAGGACTGTCTCAGTCCAACACTGCTTAGCATTTCAAGGTCAGCCAACATCAGTCAGGGGCTGCCACCTGCCTGGGTAGGAAGAGTGCTAAAAAGTTGTCACTGAGAAATGAGGAACTGGTGTTCCTTCAAATAGTAGGCATGGATTCGTGCAAGATGTTCCATATTCCCTTCCTCCACCTTGTTTGTTGGTTTGCATCCAACCTTTCTTATTTTTAGAAATAACTCAAGATGGTGAACATATCCAACATGACTTTCTCCTCCTAACCCTGTGAGGTGAGTTGGGCTGAGAGGCAGAGGCACTGGCCCAAGGTCACCCAGCTGGCTTTCCTGGCTAAGGCAGGAGTAGAACTCACGGTTTCCTGGTGACTGGTCCAAAGTCACCCAGCTGGCCTTCATGCCTAACATGGGACTAGAACTCACCGTCTCCTGGTGACTGGCCCAAAGTCATCTAGATGCTCTTCATGCCTAATATGGGAGTAGAACTCACCGTCTCCTGGTGACTGGCCCAAAGCCACACAGTCTCCTTCCATAACTTTCAAGATGGTACTACAACTCACTTTCTAGCCTGATGCTTTAACCACTAGATCACACTGATTCTCTCTCACATGGGCATTCTTCCCCATCCACTTTCCTGCAGACAGTTAAATTTCCAGCTGCCAAACAGCAGTATCATATCATCCGGCTTCTCTCTCTGGCAAGTCTACCACTTTAATCTGATTAACAGCCCAGAAGATGCTGGAATAGGATGATTAGAGAACTGGATGATGCAAAACAGCTGTAGCCATAGCAACGGAGAGAAAGGGCATAGTTAAAAGGGGGGCCCTGGCCCAACAGGACCAAAGGCAAGCATCCCCACAGAGCAGCTGATGTTTTGGGGGCAACGTGAGGACGAGTTGCGAGGGGAAACATGACGATGCTCCAAAATTCAGTGAAGGAGAATTTGCATTCCAAATAGCTTTGAAAGTTAGTATTCAAGCATTATTCAGATGGAGTAATTCATTCTTGTGTTTATAGAGTTATTACATTCTAGTGTTAAGAGCCGTGGTGGCCCAGTGGTTAGAATGCAGTACTGCAGGCTAAATCACTTCACTCTGGCAGTTCGATCCTGACCGGCTCAAAGTTGACTCTGCCTTCCATCCTTCTGAGGTCAGTAAAATGAGGACCCAAAATGCTGACTCTGTAAACCGCTTAGAGAGGGCTGTGAAGCACTATGAAGTGGCATATAAGTCTAAATGCTATTGCTATGGCCATTGCTGTAGCTGATTGGATGTCACATTAAGAGCCCTGGTGGCGCAGTTGTTACAATGCAGTGTTGCAGGCTAACTCTGCCCACAGCCTGGAGTTTCATCCTGACCAGCTTGAGGTTGACTCACCCTTGGTAAAATTAGGACCCAGATTGTTGGGGGCAATGGGCTGACTCTGTAAACTGCTTAGAGAGGGCTATAAAGCACTGTGAAACAGTATATACAGTAAGTCTAAGTGCTATTATTATTATTGCCCTCCTTCCCTCCTTCCTTCCCTTCCTTCCTTCCTTCCTTCCTTCCTTCCTTCTGGTTAGAATACAGTATTACAGACTGACTACAGCTATCTTAAAGGAGAAGTTTCCAGGAAACTTTTTTTGAGCAAATCAGGGTTTGAGCCGAGGCTTTTTTTTTTTTTTTTAGAAAAGTTGTAAAATAGGAGTGTCCAACCTTGGCAACTTTAAGACCTGTGGACTTCAACTCCCAGAATTCCCCATCCAACCACGCTGAAGTCCACAAGTCTTAAAGTTGCCAAGATTGGACATCTTTGCACTTTCATGTCTGAATGGGCTTTGTGAAGCCTCATGTGCTAAGATCTTGGGAAGATTAAGAAGGCTTTAGATCTACAGTGATCCTCTTAGGTGAGGTAAACAAGTAGCTGTTGCAGAAGCGCTCTCTTGCTTTTGCTCTCTCTCTCTCTCTCTCTCTCTCTCTCTCGCTCTCGCTCTCTCTTCCTTTTCTCTTTTCCTCTCTTTCTCTCTCTCTCTCTTTCTTTGTCTCTCTTCTCTTTCTCTTTTTGTCTCTCTCTCTCTCTCTCCAGATTCCTTTTCACACACACACACCCCACAGCCTTTCCTTCTAACCTCCCCAAAGTGACTAATAAATTAATCTTTTAATCAATTACTCTGTTAGATCATATTTGTCAAAGTGACGGGGAGATATTAACTGCTAGGCCATCTGCTTGCTGATCTCTCAAGCTGGCTTGCTGGACAAAATCCTCATCAAAAGTGTAAAGATCATGAACTCTCGACTATCCAACTGTTCCTTTTCAAGTGCAGGGCACCTTGGATTAATCACCCAGAACCGACTGACTTGCAAGGTTGGAAGCTAAACCATACGAAGAACGGCTGCAAGAACTGGGCATGACTGGTCTAGTGAAGAGAAGGACCAGGGGAGACATGATAGCAGGGCTCCAATATTTGAGGGGCTCCCACAGAGAGGAGGGGCCCAACCTATTTTCCAAAGTACCTGAAGGCCAGACTAGGAACAACGGATGGAAATTGATCAAGGAGAGATTCAACCTAGAAATAAGAAGGAATTCCCTGACAGTGAGAACAATCCACCAATGGAACAGCTCACCTCAGAAACTGTGGGTGCTCTATCACTGGAGGCTTTCAAGAATTAATTGGACAGATACTTGTCATGAATAGTATAGGGTCTCCTGCTTGAGCAGGGGGTTGGACTAGATGACCTACGAGGCCCCTTCCAACTCTGTTATTCTGTATTTCTGTAAGATTGATGTCAGCCTTGTGAGGTAGACTAGACGAGAAGCACAACCAGGAGGACCAGCTCTATGTTTATTGTAACGTTACAATAACAGAATCTCACAGATCTGAAACTTTTACTCACTCAAAAAGTAGGGACGATCCCTTCTGAGATCCTTTCAACACCCCATGCCTCCTTCAGACTCAAATTTCTTTTATCAAAGCATTGTCTAGGCTATTTTTAAAAATATTGATCTTTAGTTCCTTCAAATAATGTCCAAGAACCTGACTTCTTTTATGTTTTCATTGCCCCTGCTCACAACGTTCGTCAAAGCTTTAATAATCCAATCTAGGAAGATTGGATTACTCTCTTGGTTTGTTATTTACATATCCCTTTTAATTATCAAGGCATCCAACTGATTTCTTGCATGTGTCCAGTGTAACATCTTTTTCTGTGTCCTTCTTGTGGCCTGCAATATTTAAATCCACTTTCAAATCAAGTCTCAATCACGTCAGCTAATATTTGTTTCTCTTCCATAGCATATTTTAAATATAGTCTATCTATAGAGGCAGACACTCTTAAAATTAAGTTCTGAGTCCTTTGTTCAGAAATATCCTTCAGTACATCCAATATTAAAATATTTTGCTTCATTGCGCATTTGTAAGTCACGTTTGAGTGTCTTTTTCTTTAACTGTAATTTCTAGTTCTGTCTAGTTCCCTGTAGTATGCAATTTTTAAAGTCTTTTCTTAAGATTTCAAAACAAAAGCATTTCCCCTCAGGATGGGTTCTTTATAAGTAAATCCAAACTCTTATTTCAAATTCATCTGGACCCTTAGTCCAACTACAATTTTCCAAAATCAAAGTTTTGACCATCCTTTTGTTGTTTATTCCAAAAGAAAAGTTGGTTTATTACATTTGTTTTCCACCCATATTGCTTCAAGGCAACTCTGGACAGTTCTTAAATTATTAAACTTGTATTTTTAAACTTCTAAGCATTGAAGGGAACTCGTCCATATGCACATACTAATACTCCCTGGCCTTTGAAAAGAGGTACAGGAAAGTATAATTTACAATATAAAGAGACTGATTTCAACATCTATCTGATCTTTATGGAAAGAGATCTTACAATATAATCTGCCTGGAAGTAAACAGGTACCTGCCCTACAATTCAGAAATCAATTATTTTCTCCAAGGAATGGAATGGAATAGAATAGAATAGAATAGAACAGAATAGAATAGAATAGAATAGAATAGAATAGAATAGAATAGAATAGAATAGAATAGAATAGAATAGAATAGCTTTATTGGCCAAGTGTAATTGGACACGCAAAGAATTTGTCTCCGGTGCATAAACTCTCAGTGTACATACAAACAACAAAGTAATATAATCATAAGATACCAGTAGGACAGCGGTTCTCAACCTATGGGTCGCGACCCCATTTGGGGTCGATCGACCATTTTTCGGGGGTCGCCAAAGAAGGCGATCCGCCATTTTCTCCCCTCAGGGGGTGCCGGCGCCGCGCATGCGCGCCGCGCATGGGGGCGTGCGCCACCGCGCATGAACACTGCGCATGGGGGTGCCGGCGCCACGCATGCGTACCGCGCATGGGGCGCCGGCACCGCGCATGCGCACCGCCGCACATGCGCGGCACACATGGGGTGCCGCCGCACATGCGTGGCACGCATGGGGCGCCGCATGTGCGGCGTCGCCCCCCATGCGCACGGCACCGCGCATGCACAGAACATTTGTGTGGCGGGGGTCGCCATCACACAAACGTTGAGAACCACTGCAGTAGGAGAAGGTAGTAGAAAAGATGACAAGGATAATAGTAATACAGCCATGCTACATGGGTAAATATCCTTAGACATAGGACAGTACTGTGGTAATTAGATGTTCAGCATTCTCTACACTTTTCTTCCTTCTTTAATAGAGATGTCCCTCTAAACATAACCAACTTTCCACCTCTTCTCCAAGCTACTAGCAAACATCTCGGTAGCTAATGGAAGTGAGCAGAACGCTTGTATACAACCAGCGATCTGAGAATTCGGTCAAGGTGTACGAATTGAGGAACTAAAGCAATGTTGGCATTGAATTCACCGGTCTCCTCTTAACATCTATAGCAGGGGTGTCAAACTCAATTTCATTGAGGGCCACATCAGCATTGCGGTTGCCCCGGGGGGGGTGGGTGGGTCTGGCCAGGGTAAATGTGGCCTATTGGGTGGGCATGGATGGAGTGGGTGTGGCCTACTGGGTGGGCATGGCCAGCTCTACATCGTTCACATCTAGGGTGCCAGTGGGGGCCTGGGCAGGAGTGGGACAGATCTGAGGGTCTCTGGCAGAAGGGGGTAGGACCGGGGCAAGCGCCAAGGCATGGTCCATTTCTTCATTCCTCACAAAAGGTGACACCTCCCCAGCATGCACCCAGGGGATGGGGCCGACGCGGCAGGGGCTGGTTCCTCGCTGTTTCTAGACGGCCTTGTGGAGCTAAGACTGAATGCGTTTCAGCATAGATGGACACCACAAAATTGTACATTGGTTCCCAGCTGGCCTGGGCCAGGGCCAAGGCAGCGGGGGCTGTTCCCTCACTGTTTCCAGGATGGCTTTGCAGGCCACATGAAACCACTTCGCGGGCTTCATCCAGCCCCGGGCCTTGTGTTTGACATGTCTGCTCTATGGAGATTCTCAGCCAATCCAGGTCCTGGTTGTCCCCAAGATGCTTTTTCAAAAGGCGACCGGATGTTGTTTTTCCTTCAAGACATTTCGCTTCTGGGAGTTGAAGTCCACTGTTTCTCGGTTCTGAAGAAGCTTCTTGCGTAGGAAAGGAAAACATCTTCAAGGAAAAACCAAGTCCAGTTGCATTTTGAAAAGGCATCTTTGGATCTCTCCTCTTAAAGCTGTCCAGGAACTTTAAAAGGGGGAGATATTGACAATCTCAGAAACTCCTGTTCTTGTATGGTAATCTTCCAGATCAGCAGGATCACTTTAATGAGGGTAACAGTCATTCCTGCTTCATGATAGACTCTCCTTGCTTGCTGTCACTTTACTATCTGTTTACAATTCTCTTAAACTCCTCCCTGAGGATCCATCCATTTTATCTTGGGAGAAAGTCCATCTCTGAAGCCCCTTCAAAGCTTTCAAAATGTAGTTTCTCCCCCCCCCTGCAATCCAATACATGGATCACAACACCTTAGCGCAGTGGTTCTCAACCTTTTTAATGCTGTGACCCCCCCCCAACTGGTCGTAAGTCAAGGACTACTCAACCGGTCGTAAGTCGAGGACTACTCAACTGGTGCAGCACCGTTTGCAGAATGGGACTTTTGGCGGGCTCAGCAGGGCAGAGACAGCCTGGACAATTCCTATTGGCTTTTGAAAGCCAATAAAATTAGACTCTATTCAAGAGAGCCCATTCTATTGGCTTTCAAAAGCCAATAGAATAAAAGGGAGTAGCGTAGCTAAGGAAAAGGGGGGGGGGAATGGCAGACTGCGTTGTTTGGCGACCCCCATGAAATGGTCGTTCGACCCCAAATGGGGTCTCGACCCACAGGTTGAGAACCACTGCCTTAGCGTGTATTCACTTTGTAAAAACTACCGCAAATTATAATTTAGTCCTGCCAAACTGTTTTGTACATACTGTTTTGTGAAGGGGCTATACTTACAAAGAACATCGTTTTGTAAAGGTAACCCCCTTATGCTCTCTTTCTTTCCATAAATTATATTTAGATTATCTGAATATATAATACAAACGAAAATAAATATAGTAGGGGAATCGGGAAGGGGAGAGAAAAGAAAGAGAGGCGTGGGAGAAAGGGAAGGAGGAGTGGAAAGCACTGACTTCCAACTTTTTCCAGGGCAATAAATTAGTTACAGCCTCAACTTTTTACTTTTGCATATTTAGTCAATATTAGCCATTTCCATAACAACGAAGTAATCTAATCGGCAAAAGCCTAAGTCAGCATCAAAGAGCACAAAGTCTAGAAGCCACTGACAAGTAGAAACAAAACTAGATATGTGGTTTTCTCTGATTAAAACTATTAATTCTGCCATCTCTGCTAGCTCCATCCCTTTTTGGGATCCAGCCCCGCTTTTCTCCAGCAAGTAGGGGCTTTAGAAAAGAAAAAATCCTTAATCTTCACTTCCTGATGTTGCAAAGATAAAAGGGGAATAAAATGAAAGGAAAGAAGGTATTTCTTAGAGAAAGACCCCCACACCTCTCATCCAAGGTGCCTTCCAACATTATTATTATTATTATTATTATTATTATTATTATTATTATTATTATTATTATTATTATTATTATCCCTCAGGCCCCCTGCTTTCCAATTCTCACCAATAAATGAGGGAAAGTCCATCGAAACGTTCAAGATCGCTTCCCCCTGGCTTCAGATAGGACATCCTGTCCTAAACTGGAATTCTTGAATTGTTCTTTATTCTTCCCAGCAACGGTGGTCTGAGAGGGCGCGGCAGATCCAGCCTCTCAGCTGCAACGCCATCTGCAACCCCGAAACATGGCTTGGGGCGACAGGAGGTGGCCTTGTCCCAGCAGATCCAAACCATCTACATGGGATCTGGAAGGGGATCTTTGCTGATGGTTTTCAGCCCTGCCTTGGACCGCCTCTCCCCACGAGCGTGCTGCTAGCCAAAGTGGATTGATGGTTTTGCTCCGGCAGCCTTTGGCACGCCGCCTGTGTCCTAGGAACAGATGTTGTGACTCTTTAGTTAATCCGAAAGATCCGTTCCCTTGAGAGCAGCGTCATCTGAAGGGCTTCCAAGGTTTCAGTGCTGGGTCCAGATAGCGTGAGCGAAGGATGGACGTCGAAGGGACGGAGACAACAAGATGCGCAGGGACTCCCCCCCCCCTCCTCCTCCCTTCTGTCTTCTCTTGGTTCAGGCAAAGAGTTTGGGGGGAAAACAGAGACGGCCCCAGGTAGCGGTGGTGCGTAAATGGCAGCTGGCTTTTGGGGGGAAACGCAGAGAAATGGCATCAAGCATTGGGAGACGGTTTTGGGAAGCAAGTGGGGCAGGGAATGGGTGGTGGACTGAGGTTGGGGCTTTTTCTGGCCCCCTGATTTTCAGAAATGCTATTAGGGAAGTTGCTTCCCCGCCCCTCACAATTGGGGAATCTCCTTTACTCTGCAGCAGATCAAGCAAGGAAGAATTTTAGACTTTTCGTAGGCGTGGAAACATGATAAAGATCCTGTGGTAAAAGAAGAGAAGGAGAGGGGAGATTTATGAAATGTATCCCATGAGGAGAACCACTTCCAAAAATGGCCAAATGGCTTGAAAGTCTTCCCTTCCCTTCTTTCTCGTTTCCTTCCTCCCTTCCTCCTCCTCCCCTCAGTCTCTTCCTTCCTTCCTTCCTTCCTTCCTTCCTTCCTTCCTTCCTTCCTTCCTTCCTTCCTTCCTTCCTTCCTTCCTTCCTTCCCCACCTCCCCTTCCTTCCTTCCTTCCTTCCTTCCTTCCTTCCTTCCTTCCTTCCTTCCTTCCTTCCTTCCATTACCAGCAAACTAGTTCTGCAGAGCTAGTGTAAATCTGACCCCCCCCCCAATTATCAATTTAAAGTCAACATTAACAAAGCAGTGTAATTCAGCCCCAAATAGAGCCATAGTTGGAGACATCCAGAGCATCTAAATTCATGGTTTCCAAATTATGTCAACCATCTTAGCTTGAGAAAAAGAAATTTGCGCAATCTGGAAAGCTACCGATTTTTGTTATCTTCGAGATCCATTCGCCTCCAATCCTGCCTTCACACTCCCATTGCATACTCCTCCTAAAAAGCAAGCAAGCAACCCAATCATTTCCCAAATAACCATTCCCCCCCCCCCCATTCATTCCGGTGCATTCCAAGGAAGTGTAGGCCTGAGGCGCCCCCTAGTGGTTCTTCCAAATCCCCAGCCTTGGCAGCCTCTCAAACAGAGATCTATCTGTTCTAGTGAAAAGTGTCTTATTGTCTTGTTGTTGTTGTTAGTTGCGAAGTCATGTCTGACCCATCGTGACCCAATGGACAACGTTCCTCCAGGCCTTCCTGTCCTCTGCCATCTTCTGGAGTCTATTTAAGCTCACGCCTACTGCTTCAGAGACTCCATCCAGCCACCTCCTTCTCTGTCATCCCCTTCTTCTCTTGCCCTCCATCTTTCCCAGCATCAGGCTCTTCTCCAGTGAGTCCTTCCTTCTCACTAGGTGGCCAAAGTACTTGAGTTTCAGCTTCAGGATCTGGCCTTCTAAAGAGCAGTCGGGGTTGATCTCTTCTAGAACTGACTGGTTTGGTCGCCTTGCAATCCAGGGGACTCGCAGGAGTCTTCTCCAGCACCATAGTTCAAAGGCCTCCATTCTTGGGCGCTCAGCCTTTCTTATGGTCCAACTTTCACAGCCATACATTGCAACTGGGAAAACCATGGCCTTGACTATATGCACTTTTGTTGGCAGGGTGATGTCTCTGTTATTTTCTCCAACTTTATCTGTTTGTTTGTTTAGGACAGTGGTGGCGAACCTACGGCATGGGTGCCAGAGGCGGCACTCAGAGCCCTTTCTGTGGGCATGCGCGCCGTCGCTCCAGTCCTAGGCCTTCAGCTGGGTTTTATAACACCTTTTCGCTTTAAGCCTCTGCCGCCGTGTGCAAAAAAAAAAAAAAAAAACCAAAAACCCAGGTTCAATCAATCAGTCAATTTCATGAGGACCCCGTTCCTTGAGGACCTCGTTCCTTGAGAACTCCATTCCTTGAAGACCACGTTCCTTGAGGACCACGTTCCTTGAGGCCAAGCTTCTCTCACACCCAGCCACTCAAGGGCTGCAAATTCCAGCTGCCTGACTTGTCAAGAGAAAAAGGGAGGCAGAGCTGAGGGCGTAACTCTTGACTTTCTTTTAAGAGGGAATGAAGGAGGGCGGACAGCTCAGCTGGGCAGGCCAAACCTGTTCCTGAAACCCAGGAACAGGTTTGGCAGGCTAGAGCATCTGCCAAGCTTGCGTTGTCAGGTGGATGGCAGTTTCAGGTGTGAACTTCTAAGGCAGGTATACCGTCTTGCCTTTTCAGCAGACTTCCACCTGCCGGACCAAGGCCATCTCCCCCCAACGCGAGAAGAATTTGACATTCTTTTCCAGCTAGGTCTCCCTGCTTGTACAGATAGTCCTCATTCATTCATTTAGTGACCATTTGAAATTACGACAGCACTGAAAAAGGTGACTTAGCACCGTTCTTCACACTTACGACCGTTGCAGCATCCCCAGGGTCACCTAATCAGAATTTGGCAAAGTGATTCATATTTATGACGGTGGCAGTGTCCCCCGGGGTCACGTGATCCCCTTTTACGAACTTCTAACAAGCAAAATCACTTAACAACTGAAGCAAGAAAGGTCATAACATGGGGCAAAATTCACTTCACAAATGTTTCACTTAGAAACAGAAATTTCGGGCTCCGTCACCCAAAAAGACTACCTGAGAATTCCTGTTCAAATCTCTTCTCAGCCTTGAAGCTTGCCAGGGCCCTCACCTGCTCTTTTGGTGGGCCTTACCTGGCGAAGCAAGACCACCTCTCCACCTGCATCGTGACGCCATTGTGGGGTGACATCACTGTACATGTTCAGATGCTACAAAAAACATATTTTTTTCCTCGCTTGCCAGCAAAAAAAAACCATGCCAGTCTGTCCAGGTGCTTGTTTTCTGCCAGTAGTTATGAATTATCAGCTGAAAGCAGAGCGATACCAGCCTGTGTTTTGCTAGCAAGGAAAAATTAAAGCATCGTATTTATGTTTATTATCAGTTGACTTTGCTGGCTATGGTGTGGGTAACCCGGTTCCCTTTTGAGACAGGTCAAGTCTAGAAACAGACAGTCTAGATCAGGGGGCTTCAAACTTGGCCCTTTTATGACTTGTGGACTTCAACTCCCAGAATTCCTCAGCCAGGCACGCGTGCCTGGCTGAGGAATTCTGGGAGTTGAAATCCACAAGTCATCAAAGGACCAATTTTGAAGACTCCTCCTCTAGATGGTTGTGAAATGATACTTTGGCATATAAATGTAATAATAAATAAAATCAAATGCTTTATTGTTTTAGGCTACACTAACAAAACCGTGAAATTCTGTCCAAGTTTCCATCTGTTGCACCATGATACCTGTGTTTCTCAATCTTGGCAACTTTAAGATGGGTGGACTTTGATTCCCAGAATTCCCCAGCCAGCAGCACTTGCTGGTGAGGGATTCTGGGAGTTGAAGTCCACCCATCTTAAAGTTGCCAAGATGGAGAAACGCTGCCTTATATGAAACAAAATCAAGATGGAGTTACTTTTCTGACACTTCCTTCAATTTCTGAAGCGTCATCTCTAATTCTCTTCTTAATTGTTCTTTCATACCTTCCTGAAGGTCATCTCTAAATTTATGTACAGTAATGCAGAGTTAATATCTCAGTACAGCCAAATCATCCGCAAGGCCAAATGTAGCTGCAAGGTCTTCAGGATGAAAACATGAGCCAAACGCTTAGATGGACACCTGCAGATCATCTCCATGCCAAGAAAAAGCTGCTTCTTTGATGAATTCCTGCTTCTTTCAGAGACGGGACAGCCACGTTCTCAATTATGGCTTTGTATATCCCAGTTTTTACCTCAGAAGTTCAAAATAGCTTTCCCAAATCACTTCTTCCTCAGGATATGTGTATAATTACCAATAGCTCGGGTCCTTTTGGACAGGAACAACTGCCATCCAGAGGGATAAAATCAAGATCATGTGACATATTAATACCACTTTACAATGCCTTGGTAAGGCCACACTTGGAATACTGCATCCAGTTTTGGTCACCACAATGTAAGGAAGATGTTGAGACTCTAGAAAGAGTACAGAGAAGAGCAACAAAGATGATTAGGGGACTGGAAGCTAAAGCATATAAAACGGCTGCTGGAATTGGGCACATTTAGACTAGTGAAAATAAGAAGTAGGGGTGACAGGATAGCAGTGTTCCAATATTTCAGGAGCTGCCACAAAGAAGAGGGGGTCAAGCTATTTTCCAAGGCACCTGAAGGCAGGACAAGAAGCAACGGATGGAAACTAATCAAGGAGAGAAGCAACCTAGAACTAAGGAGAAACTTCCTGACAGTGAGAACAATTAACCTGTGGAGCAACCTACCTCTAGAAGGGGTGAATGCTCCAACACTGGATGTTTTTAAGAAGAGACTGGACAGCCATTTGTCTGAAATGGTATAGGGTTTCCTGCCTGAGCAGGGGTTGGACTAGATGACCTCCAATGTCCCTTCCAATTTTATTATTATTATTTGAACTTTTCAGATGGACTAATCTTTTTCACGTTAACCTCCGTCTGTTTTTTTAGTTTTAAAAAAATTCCTGTATGTCGTGTATGTGAACTTTCTTCCCTATGAAAAATTGTGCTGATGAGGTATGACAGATTAATATTACAATGAAAGCAGAATTCTTTTTATATGTATTTTATGGAGGCCAAGCGGGGAAAATAAATATTTTATATGGTAACTGAGGAAAGATTATATGTATGCATATGTATCCTCGACTTACGATCACAACTGAGCCCAAAATTTATGTTACTAAGTGAGAGGTTTGTTAAGTGAGTTTCACCCCATTTTATGACTTTTGTTAAAAGAATCACTGCAATTGTTAAGATAAGGGGCATGATTGTTAAGTGAATTTGGCTGCCCCATTGACTTTGCTTGTCAGAAGTCACAAATAGGAATCAGTTGCCAAGAGGACAAATTTTGATCACGTGACCAATGGTCATAAGTGTGAAAAATGGTCCTAAGTCACTTTTTCAATGTTGTTGTAACTTGGAAGGTCGCTAAATGAACTATTGTAAATTGATGACTGCCAGTATAAAAGAATAATGAAGTAGCCACAGAGGAAGAAACTGGGGAAGCGGATCTGTTTAGTAAAGGGGGGAAAAAAATACATGTTTGTTTTATTTACAATAATAAAAGAGAAGATTATATGTTGGTATTATGGTTTGATTGTCAGGTAAGTATATATTTTATGTTTTTGCTTTGTAGCTGATTTTTGGTTAACCCAAAAGAGGAGATTATTTTATTATTGAATTGTATCTATCTCAAGGAGAGTCAGAAGTAACTTTTTTTTTTTAATGTTGCTTTTGGAGGGGATTGTGTCACTCTTTAAACTTCCCCTGTTGTTGCACGTACCTATTTTTGCTTTTGTGTTGTTTTTTTTACTTTATCCGTTTCTCTTTGCAACTTAATAATAATAAAAAAGAAAACTGGAATATGGGCATTGGGCTGTCAGAAGAAAAAACTGGACTGATGATTTATGGATTTGGAGATTTTAAAAAAATAGTAAATGGGAAGATTAGGATGGGAAGAAATCTTTTTTATTCTTTTGTATATATTTTTTTCTTAGCATCATTTTAATTTTGCATACTTTTATTGTGTTGAAAAACTCTAAAAAAATTGTATTGATGAAGTTATGGGGAGAGTTTTTCCCACCACGAATCGCAGCGTTAGTACAGGGTGTGTTTGTGTGTTTGTTTGTTTTTTAGGGTTGCAAATGTAGAAAAACGTGATGCAGTTGCAAAGATGGACTTCTTACCTTCTGCTTTTGAGTACTTTCTGCCAGCTGTAAGCCAAAAAGCATCCAACTGCACGCGCACACCCACACCCCACAAACACACCCCAGATACACGCAGACCATCCCCTTCTTCCTTAACACACTCAGGGTGTGTCTGCCTCATACGACACAAATATGTACAGCATTCTTGTTTCACCCGTTCCTCAAAGCAGCGTGAATCACCTCTCGGGCACCTGCGTTATGTGAACAATCCGGAACAAAAAAAAAAAGCTTGAACATCTATTAATGCCAGAATCTGATTTGAAAGGGTGACAGGAACCTGTCACTAAACTGGGCTGGTGTTGTTGTTTTTTTCCCTCAGCCATTTCCTTTTTAAAAGGCCAGAGAGATGGGGAAGGGAAGAGAGAGGTGCTGAATTGAATTTGGGTTTTTGTTTTTTTTTTTAATGATTGTAGCTGGTGTCTCTTTGAATGTAAGATTCAGATGGAAAATGCAGTGCTTGGCAGAGAGTATTTACCTCTCTCCTCTCAT